AATGATGCATGTGTCATGGCTGAGATGCTCTGGTATTTGTTGAGTTAAATATAAATAACATCCTGCTGAGCTGAATGCTAAAAATTATAGGCTAATTAGTGTTCATTAGTACAGTCGAAATCTGTTCTTCAGCTGGATCTTCAAACAGAATGCCTGTTTGTGCCTCCACAGATCTCCTATCGGTGTGTGAGTGTTTCCATGTGCTTGTATAGCCTCACTTGGGACATTCTGTGCTCCACAATTAGATGCTACTGTGAGTTTTATCAGTGGATCCTCCTCCTGTTTGTTTTGGGGTTACAATTTTGCAAATGGGACAAACCCACAGCATTGTCTCTGTGCAGAAGTGGCAACAGGAATGGGGAGGGAGAGGCAGCAGTGTGGTGTTTGGGGTACGATAGCCACATCCCCCCTTTGCTGTCTGATGGACAGACACTTCTGATGGCCATTCCCAGCCGTACGTAGCCTGCAGACATGGTCTGGAGAAAGCCCTGCCATGGGGAACAGATGGGTTTGGGGAAGAGACAGATTTGCTGTGCTCAGTGCCTGCGGGCATGCAGACAGGCACGTCCGCTCCCACCGTGGGTGCCAGCGCTGAGCAGGGCAGCGTCCCAGTTTGAATAGCAGTTTTGCCTGTCTGCATTTAGGATTATTTTGATACAACGACGTGAGAGTTGAGAACTTCCAGTGTCTGCAAGGCCTGCGGTGTCAGGCTGTGCTTGCTCAATGGGAAGGACAGGGCCGGATGTCATTGATGCGTGTTTAACCCACTCCTGTGGGAGGCATCTCCTTCATGTGTATGCATCTCTTCATAACGTCTGAGCACCTTTTCTGTGGTTATCATAGAATCACAGAGTGGCTTAGGTTGGTGTAGACCTTAAAGATCATCTAGTTCCAACCCTCTGCCATGGGTGGGGTTGCCAGCCACTAGGTCAGGCTGCCCAGAGCCCCAGTCTGGCCCTATATGTCTCCAGAGATGGGGCAATGGCATTTACCTTCAGGATACCTTTGTGATGTGGGGCAGTATCATTTTCACTTTACCAATGTGGGCTGGAGAAGCCCAGTACCCAGGACCACGTGCCAAGCCCTCAGGAATGATGATCCTTAACATGTGGTGTGCTGGCAATAGACCCTCCAACACAACAAAGCATTTCATGGCAGCAATGCAATGAGAGGTAATGGCCTTAAGTTGTGCCAGAGGAGATTCAGGTTAGATATTAGGAAAAATTTCCTCTCCAAAAGAGTGGTCTGGAGCAGTCTGCCCATGGAAGAGGTGGATTCACTGTCCTCAGAGGTGGGAGATGTGGCGCTGAGCAACACGGTCAGTGGGCATGGTGAGAGTGGGTTGGGGTTGGACTTGGTCATCTTAGAGCTCTTTTCCAACTTTGAACCTGTGAGGCCAAAGGCAGGCACCATTGCTCTGGTCTTGGTGTGGGCTTACAGTGGAACATCCTGCTGTGCTGTCTGCAATCTACCTGTTACTCATGGCATGGCTGGACCAATATTCACGGGGACCAATATTCACAAGGCTGCCTTCCGAAATTTGGTCTTCAACAAATTTTCCCGCATTACCTGGAGGGAAAAAATGTTATGAGGAAATGAAGCTGGTTGCAATAGTGAATGTTTTTTAGATGTGGCAATGAACTGAGCGCTCCTGATATATCACTTTTCCCTTCCTGCTGACACATTCTTTGGTCCCCTTGAGTGAGAGAAGGAAAACAGGAGAGGCGGTTTGAAGAACATGCTGTCCCTGTGATTGACAGGGGGCTGTGTAAATCAGTCAAAGGGAATCCTCCAGGCATTCCCTCTTGTGAGAAGATCCCACAGTGCTCTCTGGCCACGCTCATTCTGTCTTTCGATGTTTGTGTACAAAGTGTGTGGGTGGGAGACAAGCTGGATTAGAACCTCTGAAAGGAACAGACATAAACTTTTTTAATTGAAAGCAGCTTTCTAGGGAGGGGTATGGCATGGGCTTCCAGTAAGTAGACACAAATAGTCCCCAAATACTTTGGAACAGAGACTGGACTCCTATGGTTCTCATTGCTGTGTGGGGCTGAGAACCTGGATAAGCCCCAGTGAGTGAAGTTTTGAGTCTTGCCTGATTCCGTCACTCTTCAAAGCAAATACTTTAGTGTGTGGTAACACCCTGAAATGAAAAGTACATCTATCCCTTCTTCCCTCCGCAGCTGTCAGGTGCTTTAACTGCTGTTTTTCATCATTGTAGCAAACAGGAGGATGTTAGAAAATAATTTATTTCTCCTAAGCCTGAATTTGTAGCCATGAGGAGAAATGATGCTGTCTTCCAGGCCATTGAAATGGACTGAGATGCTTTTTTTCTAATCTTTTTGTCTCCTAGTGCTCCTTTCTTGTGCGTTTTCTTCCCCCTGCATGCAGCTGTCCCGTACCGCTCAACTGTGGCTCAGGAGTGATGGCATGGCAGTAATAGATGCCTTCACACTGCTGACATCTTTAGGGATGCCCTGGAGGCAGAGGTGTGAAGGGCTGTCTGAGCAAGTGGTTCCGACTTTGCCATTGTTCAGTGACACTCAGTTGCTTGTTAGAATTGAAAAGGGGATATGTTTGCCGCAAGTAGGTTATTGGAACCATTTATCTAATCAGGTTGTTACTAAAATCTCAAGGAATATGTTAGCACCAGGTGGGTTTGCTGGATAGCAGCTCGTGTAAGAGAGGCTCTCGAAGTCACTCTTACTATCGCATCTGTTGGACGTTCCCCATACTTGCCAATCATACTCTTCTCATGGAAGAACACTTTACCCCAGCGCTGTTTGGAATCCCTTGACTGAGGAGCAATGCATCAGCCTCAGCAGGAAGGAGCCAGTCAAACCTGCTGGAATCAGAACACTCTCCCAAGGCTGCACAGCCTCCAACACAGGCTCTTTATGCTCAGGTTTTTGCTGATAGTCTCAGGCAGAACCAGAAAGTGCTGGAGTTCACGCACATGCACACAAATCAAACAAGGCATTTAGAAGTTATCAGAGATTTCCAATCCACCTCAGCAGGGGTTTATTTTGGGTTTGATTCAAACTTTTGGTGAAGGTTCGGGCGAGTTTTTAATACAGGTTTTCACTCATCCATCAAGTGGCACTTAAAACACACTGAATGTCAGGAATCTTATTTGTTTCAACCACCTTTTTGGAGCAGTAGAGATGGAGGAGGTATAACAACAAAATCACATAAAAGTAATGAGACCTTTGTTCATGTCAAAGAGCTCTCTGACCATATAAATTGCAGATGTGGGTAAGATAAATTCCCTAGCTGGAGAGGTATTAAAATAAAAACCACGCTCCCAACAAGAGACAGGCTGCTGAAAATGCAAGAAGGGAGAATTGCGAAATGGTACATGTCGAATTGCTGGCCTGGATTTCAAATGCCAAAGATAGTTTATGTAAAGCCTTGCTCTGCTGTAAAATGTAACACTATCCACTGGCTAGCCTCAATGAAGCTTGGTCACAGTTGTTTTAAAAAATAAATAAACTAAAAATCTTCTTCCAGCCCATTAAAGCTGATTTATGTTTTGCCCATAGATTCCTCTGTGCTGGATCTTGAGGGACTCAGATTATAGAAGTGATTACCTCACTCTTGGCCAATCTGGTTTCTTGTTCCCAGGCATCCCAGGCTCTCTTTGTATTGCACTGACTTTGCCTGTTGGGACCAAGAGGTCTCACACTGCTACCATGCAGGCACAGGACTTTGAAAGATTAAAAGCACCTCCGTTAATACCCTCATTATACTTCAAGGTTTTCATTTTGTTTGAATAATCAGGAAAATTGCTTATGGGAATGGCTGTAATGACAGCACGTCACCATCAGGTTGCTCGGTTAATTCTCCAGCCTTGGAAAGAAATCTCATAATGTCCCCCAAAGTACGTGGCTTCACTTAGCACCTGATGCAAGTGCCTGTGCCCCAGGCTCCCCACATCGCACACCCACCAGGCTGCCTGGGCCCCCCGGGTTGCACTCGCAGCTCTGCTGCCAGCACACTGCATGGCCACGAGGAATTGCCTCCCTCCCCATCCGTTACCCAAGTGATGTGGATGTTAGCAGGTATTCTTCTGATGAAAGCAGTCCTGGAGTGCAGCTCTTGTCTTTTGGATTGTGCATCTTTCCTTTCTTGTTCTTCCTTGGGGAATGAAGGCTTTGTGAAGGCAGTGGCCATGCATGTTCCTTTTTTTTTCTTTCTTTCTTTTTTTGGGTTCAAGCAGTATCACTGCATTGTGCGGTTTCAGGGTAAATCCTACCATTTCTTGCAGCTTTGTTTCTACATATTGATGGCACTGCAAGACTGTGGTACTTAAATTCAGGCATTCTCTCATTTGGGCTTTTCATCTGTGCCAGCATTTGGGATTCATCTACTTGTTCTTCACTGAAAAGAGAAATAATAATCCCATTGCTGCCTGCCATGGAAAGTACTGTAGATATAAGAAAACGATTCAAATTACAGAAACTAGTTAACAAAAAGAGAAACGAGTTTGCTGAAATTGGGTTGTACTTTCCTGGCTACGCCTCCTTCCAAGTTTATATGGCCATCTGTGGCTTCCCTGGGGTTACAGCAACATGCAGGTTTAAATAGGACATTGCTTGAGTACTGTGGAGAGCATCTGCAGACTGTCTGTGCTTGGAGTTGGCGTGTTCAGAAGCGGTCGTCACTTCGAGTCCAGAGGGAAGAGCTGCGGTCTGTTTGGGTGGGAGCAGAGCTGGGCTGCACGCTGTCAAGGCCCTTGTTGTACCAAATTAAGAGGGAACTGTTGGCTGCCATCCGGCTGCTGTGAGCCTTTTGCTCCTTTTTATGTTTCGGTTTTTCTCATTGAGGTGGAAGACCTGGAAACTTAACTTTTGAATAACCTCGTGGTATTTAGAAATGTCACTGATGTGTATTATTTTATCCTAGCAGTGCACCTGGACTTTTTCCCCCTGCTTTAAATAGTCACAGTCCTTCCCTGCTGACACCTACAACTGTTTGGATGTTTCTTCTTTCTCCCTCAGACGTGTCGCACGAAGGTGATTGACCTGAACGATGGTGTTTCCCAGTATGCCTGGTATCCCTGCACTGCCAACTTCCAGTACTCCCACATGGCACAGACCATTTTCTGGCTAAAGGTAAGCAGTAAGACTTGTGAACAACACGCGTCTCTTTGCCTGCTTGTATGAAGTTGCTCCACTAGACAAAATACCATGGGACTGCCTTCCCAGGGCCAAGCAGCAACTTTCTTTGAAGTATGTTTAGTGGGAAATGGCAAAACAAAGTCTCTGAACACCATCTAGGGAGTCAGTGGTGAAGTCCATTCCTGTGGCAGGTCTAGAGAGTTTCTTAGAGGTTGCAGCTCCAGCTGCAGGGCTTTTTAACTCCAGTTTAAGCTAGTTTGTGTAGGAGAGATTGGAAGAGAAGACGTCTCCGTGACCTGGAATGAAAATTGATCTTTTAAAAGTTCAGCATTGGCTCTCTGTATTTTTTTCAAGTACAGCACATCTGCACTTTTCTCCATCTAAATCCATGTGGGGCTTTTGTTTTCCCAGGCTTACTTTTCCACGCCGATGGTGGCTGCAGCAGTGCTTGTCCACTTGGTAACTGATGGGACCTATTACCTGGATCAGAAGCAGGAGACCATTGGTGTGCAGCTGTTTGACACCAAAGAGCAAAGCCACGATCTGGGTGAGATTGTATTGAATTTAAGGCCCTCCTTATTGCTAGTGTAATGGAAGCTCCATTCAAAAATTATGACATGTACTCCAACTTAGTTTTTTCAAGGTCAGACAGAAAGAACACTTGCTTAATGCCCCAAGACCTGAGTTTGACTGGAGTCTGTGGAAAGCGATGGAACATTTTGCCCAGACATTTCTCCACACCTCTCCATTTTCAGAAGAGTTTAGTTCCCATTTAGTCATTAGAATAAGATCACGTTAGTGCTTCATGCAGAGAACCCCCCCGGAGGGACATTTACAGTGATACAGATGAATTGCTGGTAGCAGAGAGAGAGACATTAACCCCATTCTGTGGCAGCTGGAGCAGCAAATGCTTCTGTTTCACAAGGTGTAGTTGGTTGGATTGCCCAGTTAGAAGGGGCTGCATCTAGCCCTGCTCACAGGGAGGTTTCCACAGCTGTTTAATGGTCTGGAAACTGCATCTTCTAAAGCTTCATTGTAATATCTCCCATAAGCTCTGGAAGGGATCCAGGGATGGCTGCTGAGCCAGCTGTGTGAGGGCCATTTGCTGGTGCCATTGTCCAGCGTAAGAAAATCATCATCAAGATGCTTTGATGCCTTACAATGGAAAAGCTTTATTACTCATACAGATCCTTTTCTTTCTGGGGTAACAACCTCTTCATGAGAAACATCAGTTCACCTAGGGCAAAATGTGCCAGGTTTGATGAAGGTCAAACAAGGTCCACGTGGGCTGGATGAGAGATGCGTTGCCTCAAGCCTGTGCCTGGCAGAAGCTATGGACCTGCTAGTCATGGTGAAGTCCCTGGATAGACTGTTTGTACCTCTGCTTCGAGGACAAATACCTGGGAAAGCTGTGTCTCATGCTCTGATTACATCTGCATTTGAGCTTGAGGACCAAGGAGCTCTCCCTGGCTCCCAGCTCTGTGGGCAGGGTAGGGCTTGTGAAGTTCTTTTCCAGCCTTCCTTTGCCCTTTTATGAACTGGGAAGAAAGCTGACAGTGCCATCTTGAAAGCTTTAAGGCAACTCATCCCCCTCCCCCAGCTTTCTGTGCCCAGAATTTTGTGGTTTCAACAAGCTCAAACCCCAAGAAGAAGGGACATGCATAAGTGAAAGGTGTTGGATGACTGTCCAGTGTAATATGTAATATTGGTGGGATGTAGAACAAAAGAAAGACAGTATGTGTGGTGTCTCTTGTCAGAGAACAAAGAAATTCAGAGCAATTGTTCAGGTTGAGTCAGAATAGCTCCCAGTTGGCCAGGGCTCTGGATTGGTTTTTATTCTCCATTTGCAAAACAGTGGCACATAGCTCTTTCCCTCTGAGAAATAAATGACGGAGACACAAACGTGCCAACAAATACTTAATGCAGTATTTTGTAAAGACACAGATTATGAGAGAAAGAGAACAAGAAAGAGGAGCAAAGAGGAAACTGAGGGTGAGGTTATGAAATCCTGGATGAAGTTGCGACATGGCTTTGGCATGGTTTAAGCCGATGCCTGCAGATCTCCCCGGCTGAGATGCTCCCTTCATCATAGAAAAACCCCTCTGACCTTCTCAGGGAGGCTCTCCTGGAGCAGAGGAGAGGTGTAGGTAGGTTACCCAGTACTTTTCACTCAGGCAGAGCTCCCATTGCTGCTTTCACTGAGGTCTCAGTGCAGCACAAAGCCCTATGTTTCATTTGATATTTTTGAATTATCACGGCAACAAGCTAGAAGCTGCAGCTGAGATTCAAACTTTGGCATACACTGGATGCAGGACAGTTGGCCAGCCCTAAACAGCTGCAAATGACAAGTCCAGCCAGAAGGTAGAAGCAGTGTTTTAAAGCTTGGTCAGTCCTCAGTGCACTAAAGCTCACACCCACGAGCAAAGTTTGCAGTGTATCCAGAAGTTCTGTTTCCTCTCTGACCAGAACGAGGTTTTTTCCATGTGGACTCCCAGAAAATAATGAGAAACTTCTTTTGAGCTTTGGTAGGAGATGGAGAGGCTGGGATGCCAAACACCAGCATTGTTAATTCAGAGCATTTGTAGACACTGGGGTGCATTGCAAGGGGCACTGAGGGCTCAAAAGGTGGACACAGAGCAATGGGGGCAAATGTGGACAGCTCTCACTCCCCTGCCATGGGCCCCTGTGCTGTCCTGGGTGATTTTTTTGCTGATGAAGTCAGGTTGATTAAATGAACTTGTCTTGTTAAGCCTCTGTTTAAGTTGTTGGGATCAGAAAGCACCAGCAACTGCAGCACAGCTCTGAAGTCTGGTTTGTTGTGGACACCACCTGAGTGCAAGGAATGAAACTGAAGTGAATAAACAGCCTCATACCATAAGATCTTTTTTGGCTTTCCATCAGAGAAGGCAGAAACTTCCAAGGAATTTGGGAACTCAGGATTTCAAGTATTAACTGCACCTGTTTGTAAGTGAGAAACGTGCACCGTTCCACAAGGAGCTGATATCAAAAGACTTGTGGGAGGCAAGTAGACAGGGGGGTTATTTCAGGGTCAGATAAAGACCAAAACAATGAGAGGTTGGCTTTTTTTTTTAGTATTTTTTTTTATTTTTATTACAGGAAGACTGTTTTAAAGGAGAAGGTAGGAGATGTTTAAAGAGAGTGGTCAGAAATCTGTCTTAATTCACAGGAAATCACTTTCTAAGGAGAAAAAAAAAATGAAAACTTTTTTTTTTTTTTTTTAAATTCCTCCCCTTTTGAACCAAGAAACCTGAACTGGAAAAAAATAATAATAATAATAGTGATCCCTGAGCCAGATAAACATGCAAATAGGATTTGTTTTATTTCAAAGTCGGGAGCGTATCGGGGTAGCCAAAGGGCCTGGGCCAAAGCCGTTGCTGGGGGAGCTCCAGCAATGTGAGTGGAGCCGAAGCCAAGCGGATCCTCGGAGCGGTGCCACGGAGCTGCCGGGGCAGGGCTTTGCTGTCAGCCACCCAGCCTGAGCCTGCAGGAAGGGGTGCTGAGGACAGGAGGCGGCTGTCTGTTCTCTCAGCTGCCCCCCAGGTGCGTTGGGTCCGTGGGAAGTCAGGTGGGGATTTCATCCTGATGGCCACGAGCACCTGCTCTGCTGGAAATGGGTCTGAAAAGTCCCCTCAGCACCTCTTTGGTGCTGCTGAGCACCTCAACCTCTTGAGATGCTTTTGTTTTCTTGAGATGTAATTCTTGTCACCTGTGAAATCTTCAGAGGGTCCATCACCCTCACTTCTCTTTTCGGGACCACCTTTGCCCTTTTTAGGAAAGAGCGAGATATCCCAAGGCTGGAAACCATTAATGAAAAGCAAAACTGAGCACACTTGGCATACAGGTCATGCAAAAGAAAAAAAAAAAAGAAGGAAAAGTTTTATGTTGGGTGCTAATGACATGCAACAGCTACAAACAAGCCACTGGTGCACTGCCCATGGTGCACAAAGCCACCCAGCCTGCCGGTCCCATTTGATGCACGGGATAAAGGCTCCAACTGTCCCCTCCGACTGGTTTCACAATAGCTCAACTCCGCTTCTTCCGTGATGGTTGCTCCTGATTTAACAGAGCACAATAGAAATGTGGCTGTGGTCTAAAGAGAGTCTGCCGCGCTCACCGAGAGAATGGCAGCCTTTCTTCAGCTGTCTGCAGGGATATACTTCTGTGCTAAGCTCTCCAGAGCGATTTGGGAAGCCCCTCCAGGCAGCTTACCATAACTTTTCAGCTCTATAGGGCCATTCCTATGGGTGAAATGCTTCTGAAGTGCTCACGGCTTCGGGAAGTGATTGTGCTCGATCTGACCCTTCCTCTGATCTTGTCTCTCCTCTGGCAGGTGTCCACGTCCTGAGCTGCAGGAACAATCCCCTGATTATCCCCGTCATCCATGACCTCAGTCACCCTTTTTATCACACCCAGGCTGTCCTCATTAGCTTCAGCTCCCAGTTTGTGGCCATCTCCGGGGTGGCCCTGCGTTCCTTCCACAACTTCGACCCCATCACCGTCAGCAGCTGCCAGCGAGGACAGACGTACAGCCCGGCAGAGCAGAGGTGAGCCGCCGGCCCGCGCCCTCGCCCCCACCCACCGCCCCACACCGGGCAGGGAGGGCAGGGGGGCACCGAGCCTGAACCCTGCTGACCCCTTTGTGCTGCCGCTGAGAAACTGGCGCTGTTCTTATTGAGCAGGATGGATGGGACATTTAACCCGTATAGGATACCGCTAGTGAATTATTTCCTCTTCCTTTCTCCTCCCTCCTTTATCCTGCGCTTGGAATTGGGGCCAGTTAACACCCCGTGCATCCCCCCGCTTGCAGCCGCTCACACGTCGGCCCGGATCTGGCCGGCTTTGTGCTGCTGAAGCGCTGGGAGGACCTCCCATGGAAGCGTCCGTGCGGGCACAAAGTGATGCCCTGCATCCTGCCTGGTGCTCAGCCCCGCGCTCCCAGCCTTGCGGTGCTCCCACGGCTGCGGCAGTGCCCTCCGCACCTCTCCGGATCCTTCCCGCGTTCTGAAAAGCTCAGTGGGACCCCCCAGGATGAAAGGTTTATGGCTGCCGTTTTATTCTTGTTGTTATTGCAGACACATCAATAGATCACCACCAACCCCTCTCGGTCTCTGCTTTACAGCATCCCACAGAGATGCTGACCTTTGGTGGCCTCTGGTGCGGCAGCTTTGCGGAGCCTTTCAGCGGAGCGGTGAAAAGAAGAGGGGAGAATTTAGCAAAACCCCTGAAAGAATCATTTTTTTTTTCCTGCTGTGAATTCCAAGTTGTGAGCGGTCGTCATAGCATAGCGGCAGCAATAGTAAAACAAGTCGCACATCCCAGCAAAGCTCTGCTCAGCCTCCTAAGCAGGCTGTCAGGTTTTTGATAATGTTCTGGCGTGCTTTTAGGAGCTGCTTTGATTCCAGGAAAGGGGGGAGGGTGAGAAAGGGGAGAGGGAAGGGAAAATAATAATAAAGAGGAAAAAAAAAAGAAAAAAGAGTATATCTATAGCTAAATCAATCCAGTCAGTGTGTTCTGACCTAGATTCAAGGAGTCTGATCGTTCCGTGCAATAGGTTGTGTAAATGGAGAGGCCCAAAGACAGCAGCACCGAGTTGCAGATGAAAAGTGCAGTTTGTGCATGTTTGGCCAAAGCCCAGTGCAGGAGGGACAGAAAAAGAGGGAGAGGGACCCGTGGAAGGTGCAAAGCACAGGGAGCACACGGGGGCACAGGACCGCATTCCTCCCTCTTGTTTTGCAGTGGGGACTGAACCGTTTGTTCACTTACGAAATTAGAAGTGCTCTGTGTTTAGAAAGTTATTTCCTTATTAAAAAATGCTTTCCCCTTAGGCAAAGCTTCAGAGGGCCTCTGCAGTGCAGCGACGCAGCCTTGAGAAATCTCCTGAAGAAGGATCACCCTCTCTTTGCTGCTTTTTTTTTTCCTCCTTTTCCTTGAATTTTTGGGAGTGTTTTGTGTTGCCAGTGCAGCTCACTGTCCCAGCCCTTTGCTCTCTAACACATCAGCCACTGCCCTTCTTGTCAGGGGAACATTGCAGGTCTTGCAGGTTGCAGTGCTAGGTTGGACCTTCAAGCTGCCCATGTCAGTGAAGGAACCAGAGACTGAAAGAGAGCCCTGATCCAAAGCCAGTTGAAATCAGTGGGGTTTTTTCCACTGAGTGCAGTGCTGTAATGGAAGATATCCATCTGGCCCTGTGGTGAGATCATTTAGGGTGACGGTGTGTGCTGTCTTCTGTACCATGAGCTCTAAGCAGTTCCAAGATGTTGTGTGTTGAGCTGTGCAGCCAAGAGGCAGGTGAGCATCAAGGCTCCTTGCTCCCTTTCTGCTTCATTGTTTTCCCCAGTAAGAACACAGAGAAGGACTTCTTGCATTCATCTTAACCAGGTTAGGGGCTAGGTACTCCTTTTACCACTCATGTTCTTTGCCAGACCTCATCTGAGCTTGATCCCATGCAGCCCACACTTCCTACTACCCTTTCCCTACTGGTTGCATTTGCCTGATACAATTTCTTTTTATTTAGTTATTTTTGAAAGGAGCTTTTCCTTCTTATGCACAAGCATTGACTTCACCGCTTTCATTTTCCTTAGGTAAACATGGATATTTTTGCCCGCTTTTTGGCTTCTCTCTACAAGAGATATTATTTCTCTCTCTTCAAGGAGAATTATTTTGGTTGGAGAGGATTTATAGGCAGATACAGGCACTTCTAGGCAAGGGTGCAGACTTTAAATATGTGAGTGAAAAGAAATATATTGGCCCTTAAATGTGAACACTGTTTTTATTATGAGGGTGAATGGATCTTTCCCATGAGTTAGGGGCAACCTAATAAATGATAATAAAACACGTGCTCTTCTTTTTCCTCCTCAAAATGCTCATTACAGTTTATACTTTAAAAGAGAAAAAGGAGCTTAAATGTAAAAATCTCATCCAACTTTATAGGTAGCTGTCCTTAGCCATCGTTAGCTCTTTTTGAAAATCCATTCCATCCTTCTGAAGGCATTTATAGAGGATTTAAGAAAATTCTCCGTACTTTCCAGTTGTGTTTTTCCAGTTGTTGTTGTTGTTTTCTGCCACAGCTGACCACAAGCTTTACCCAACTGCTGGAGATGGGCTGTAAAAGCAATGAGCTTTATTTTCACATTGCATTCCTCAGACCAGATATGGCGACTAACTAGTTCTCTGGCACTGCTTTTGTACTTACGTAGCTGAAATGATTGCGCTTGTATTATTTCCTGTTCAGCCTTGTGGAGAAGATACAGGTCAGAGGGCATGGTAGAGATGGATGATCTTAGTGGTCCTTTCCAACTTTAATGACTCTATGATTCTGTGGCAGTGAAATGGGATGAGCAGAAGCAGTCGTATCGTTCCCCCCAACGTGGTCATTTGAGCACCATGGAAACCTGTGCATTCGGGCTGCCTTTGGCAGTGGTTCCTCACCAGTCAGGACTTTGACTTTGTCGCCATGTAGGAAACAAGAGCAGGGGCTGCCCACGCCTGGCAAGGCATTCCCTGCCTTCTCCTGGGGCAGCATTCCCCCTTCATCCCACCTGGTCCCAAGGAGAAGGAGCCCACTCCATCCCCTTTGCTCTGTCTTGTTCTCTTCTGCTGTCAGCTCCTCCAACAAGAAATTAAATCTTCAGTAGTGTAGCAAACGCAATTGCCCTTTATAACTGTAGTTATTTTTTTCCTTTTTATACCAAAAGAACAGGTCTCCTCATCTCTGTTTTTGTTATTTAATGCAGCTTTCTATGTACTGTGTGGGCCGCCTTTCCCCTGCCCCTTCCCCCTGCCCTGTGTTCTGTCATTAAGCACAATCTCTGTCAGCTTGGTTCTGGTGAAATTAATGAATTTCTCACAGAACTGTTAATCATAGGAGCTTTGGTCTGTGACATGTGTTATAATTCAGTGGGTTTTTAACCTTCGCCCCATTTTGGTAATTGGCAGACGGCATCATTTGGCTTTTATTAAAGTGGAACGCGATGCCATTTCTTTGTTTGTGGAGAGCTGGCGGGGCTGTGAGCACACAGGCACCCAGGCCTGCCCCAGTGTGTGGGGCCCTGAGTGCATTATGGGCTCCACAGGGCCCCTGGGCAGCACAGCTCACAATATGGGGTGCACCGAGCCCATCCCTGGGGCCATTGCCCCATCAAATGTGGGGACAGGCATGCCCTGCCTCTGCTCCCCCACAGCTCACCTGGGGCTGGATGGAGTGTTTTCAGTAAATCTCAATGTTGTTGTGCGTTCCTGACCCCACCTGTTTGCATCCGGGGGTTTGTTGGGATTGCTGTTGGGGTCGGACTGGGCGGCACTGCAGTCAGATTGCTGAGGGGATCGTGGCTGGGGTGTCTGCACTGTTGGTCGCTCTCATGGACCAGATGTGATGCAAACAGGGCTGCCCTGCTCTTCCAATGGCATGATCAGCACAGGCTCACCAGTCCCCATCTTGCTCCAGCATTCAGGTAGATTTCTTTGAGTTTTTGTGTTCGTACAAGGAGATCAATTTGTGTTTTTTTGGAAATCCAAAGAAGATAAACTCATTGCCACCCTTGCAGTTCTTACCTTTTTCACTTCTGAAGCTGCAGCAAAGAATATGAAGGCAACCTTTGCTTCTCCAAATGGCACATCTGTCTTTGGATTTGAGAGAGAACTTACTCCTGTCTTCAGAGGGAGAAGACAAACTTACTGTAACCATAAATCTTTCCAGAAACACCCTCAGAAGGCCATATGGTGTGAGATGTATGCATGGTGCTACTGAACAAAACCTCAGGATGCTCCAGGTCTGCAGCCTAGGTTGGCCTAGGCTGAGGAACAGGGACTTTGTGAACTGGATGATGGTTGAAGTTCTCTCATACACAAATGTGTGCTGCATTCCTTTATGCTCACCTATGCATATATATGTGCCAAAGCTGTCGCTAAGGAAGCAGGTAATTGGGGCACTGTGTTAAGATGAGTTTTTGGAAAAGTGCTTGACCCCAAGGTTAAGGAAAAAAACATTTGGCTGCTGTAAGCTTTTCGAAGGAGGAAGTGCTGGTTTGTTTTTGTGTGAGGAAGGAAGAGTTCCACTTAATTGTTACAATTTTCTATAAACATGTTAAAATACAAATGTTTCTAGGATTGTGTCACCGAGACCCCAATTTAGCAAAGCCTCCGGCTATTTGCTTACATCCCCCTGTAGTCAGATCTATCACTGGGACTTAACCATGCTTTTGAAGTTAAGCACATATTTAAGTGCCTTGCTGAACTGGGGCCAATATTGGCACAGAGAAATAAAGATTTAGAGGCTAATGACTGAGCTCATTTAGATTAGGGATGGGCAGAATGGATTTGAGTAAAGTAAGAACTGGCTTAGAACTTCAGCTTGCATGTGAAACTAACACAGCTCAGGGCTTTTTACATCACTGAAATGGTTTGTCTTGATCTGTGTTTTTAACATACTGCGGGCAGTGGAAACTACAAAAAAATTCTTGCACTCAGAGGTGCAAAAATGTTGTTTTAGGAAGTTGTTCGTTCTTAGAGCAAGAACAGGAACAGGTGAATCATGAGGTGGATCTGGTAAAATACACAACGTCAGAGAATAACCCAGGCACCAAAGCTTGATTCCTATTTATATCGGAATGTTGAGTGGTCTTTGGGTCACTTTCCTGGCTTTTGTCCAGTACTTTTGCAAGCAATTCCCAGATTCATCTGGGGAGTCAGAATAGACCAGGGATGACTTGGAATAGGCAGTGTTGATGAAGTCACCCAGTTTTGATTGCAAGAAAATGGGTTGAGCTGTCCCATGCCAGGAAGCAACATCAGTTATAGTAGAAGTGATTTAATGCTCAGATACTCTATATTGTTTCTTTCCAGAGTGCTTCACAGTTTCTGGAACATGTGATGATTAACCACTGTTAAATGACAGTACCCAAGCAAGAGCTTCTGTAACCCACAGTTCTGTAATACGGATGTGATGGGTTCTTTGTCTAAGTTTCCTACTTGCAGATATTCATTTCTCCTTTATTCCACATTTGCAGAACTCAATTCAAGATCGTGACTTCAAAATTCATTGGGATTTATGGCTGACAGTAGCTGATACCAAATTGGAACCAGTAGCTAGAGAACCAGAAATATTTAAATTAGAAACATTTGGTGGCAGTGGTTGTTTTTTTACAAAAGTGAATGGTTGTATTGTTTGTCACTGAAGTCATTCATATAGAGTTACAGACAGAGAGAGCTGCCCAGATGATCTGCTAACCAAGGCATAATCTGGAGCCTGGGGGGGGTGGCTAAAAATGTTCCCTGGCCAGTTAAGAAGACCACAAGGGGACTTGTAAACAGAAAGAAGAACATCACAATAAGTGTTTCTTAATGCCTTTGTCTGTGGCGTTTCAGTTCTGTAGGACTTTTAAGCCCAGGCTTGCTCATCTGGTGTCCTGATCTGAACTCTAGAAATTAGATTCTTTCTTTCCTTTACATTGAAGGAAATGGAAAGCAATGCCACTTCTTGTGTTGCTCCACGTTTCTCCAGATTTCTCTTTGTGCAAGTTGCAAAAGTTTTCTTAGGCTCATCCTTCCTTTGGAAGCCATTCAAGCCTGAATTCAGTTCTACATCAGTGCGTTGAACATTGGTTAACATGAGACATTATATGAAAGAGGTCTTCTGTTGTTTTACTTCTCCAAGTTTTGTGCAAAAATGTTTTCAGATTTTGCATGTTTTGCAATGGGCATGAAGGTTTGCAATATTGTGCTTCTGAGAATGGCTTGGCGGCGATGTTCATGTTTTTCCTCAATGAGTCAACTTGTCTCTGGAATCTTGGCATGGAAGGAACTCATATGGCAGCTTCCCTGTCTGAAAAATGGAGGGGAATGAAATAATGCTTAGATTCCACATGTAGGTGAACTGGGACACGTGGTGAGGATTCAGTGAGGCATCATTCATCGGTTACGCTCTCTGAGCGTCCGTGTTCAGACACTCTTCTGATTAACTGGTGATGTACTCAGCTGGTGACTACCCAGCTGCCCTGGGCAGCCTCACGTGCTGCAGTTCACACTCTTGGCTGATTTGTATTGGGCTTTTGATTCGTATTGGGCATCGTCTATTCTCACCTTGTTTCCCTGCAGGAGGAGGCCACCTGGGCTCTAGGATGTACCAGCCAGTTGTTCTTCCCCTGTCTCATGCACAGCCTTACTCATCAGTGAAAAGTGAAATCAGTGGCAGTTTAAATTTGTAGGTCAAGCAGTGAGTTGCAGTGACTGGAAAACATGTATGAAGCCCTTGGTGGAGAGGGGTCCTATGAAAGCAGGGTCATCGTGCTCTGTGATGAGCACCACTTATCAGTCATACTGCTGCAGTCCGCATGCTATGTGTTGTGTATGAGGGTACTGAGCTGGCCAGTGCAGAGGCAGAATTCTTCTTCCTCAGCCCCATTGATGTCAGTACTTTGTGCAGAGTGAGAAAATAAGATCTGTTTGAATGTAGGAATTGCGTACAGCCCATCACACTGCAGGGAAGGGCTGCCACTGAACAAGCAACCTTAAATTACAGGCAGCAAGCACTTCTCATATAGCACTGGTCTGGGACAGAGAAATGAGCTGTGGAGATCATAATGCTGTCATTTCACCTGGCACGGAACTCAGCAGAGACATGTGCAAATGTGCTTCTCCATCGCTGATGTGGGCATAACAACACCAGCCCAGGTGTCTCACAGGGGTGTCATGAAAATTAATTAGATTATGTCTGCACGATGCTTTGAACACAGCAAAACATCATGGACATGCTAAGTCCTGTGCTTAGTGAGGTGGATGGCTTTTTGGTGGCTCTTAACCTGTTTTCTAGGAGATAGGAATATCTGGCTTGTAATGAGTTTCAAGAGATGTGTGTTGATGCATTACTTCCTTCTGTAACTTCTGGTGTTTTGGGTTCTTCACTCATAAAGTTGGTGAATGATGTCAAGATTTTCCCTCTTCAGAATTTGCTGTATGTAATTTAAATTCAGTTTAACTCTCAGCAAAGGCAAATTGCTTTGTAGAAGTCTTTAACCCCAGAAACTGTCACAAATCCAGCAGAATATTTTTGCATTTTCTTTAGGATTCTCAATACTTTCATTGCCCTGGAGCCAAGGGACCGTCCCACACTCCATTTCATGATATGCTAAAATGTTTGACTCAGGTCATCAGAAATGGTTAAAGATCTGATGTCTGCTAGACATCTCTGAGTATACAGGAATAAAACAAAATGCTCTTTTTACAAGTTATGCTGAATGTTAGAATAATTCACTGCCGGGAGAGCGCTGAGTTTCCATCTGGGGAAACATTTTCTGGATGGCAGGACAGCAACCAGAGAGATCTGAAATGACAGCATGCTGCTGAGCTTGATAAGAGCTTATCAACACAGCTACACGACTGATATTTGGTGTTCCCCGTGAAGTGGAATAAAGTGGATGTGTTGATTGCTATCAAGTTTCGCAGAGATAAGAGAAACCCTTCCTCACACGTACACACATACACAGTTATCACTGGCAGTATCAGGCACTCCTGAATTCAGCAGAGACTGTAGCTCGGATGGGGCACAAGCACTGCTCTGGAAGGATTGCTCACATGTACAGATGCATGTTGGTACAGCGCATGAAGACCATGCTGCTGTTGTTTGTGTTGTTTCTCTCTGAGAGTGTTGCAGAACAGAAGGCCGTTCTGCAGACTTGGCAGGCCCTTCCCTTTTGCCACAAGACCCGTCATTTGCTCTCGTTGTCATCACCATTCCCACTGCCCCGGTCCTTCAGAAGATGCAGCTAAAGGGTGTGCTGGTTGGTCAGGAGCAATTTGCTGAGTGGGTCCGGCGTGCAATCATATCCCTGCAGCCTGGCACACAAGCTTGCTTTTTTTTTTTTTGAATGAACTAAAGGAACTGAATGCAGATGCCACTTCTTGTCTCCCCACAGCTGTGTCCATTACTCCTGCGAAGCCACAGACTGCCAGAAGCTGGAGATCGACAACGCGTTGCTGAACTGCACCGGGGGCGGGTGGTACAACGGAGCCCAGTGCAACGTGAGCTGCAGGACGGGCTACATTCTGCAAGTCCAGAGGGATGACGATCTCAGCAAGAGCCAGGTTTGTGCTGCTGGTTTTGTGTGACCGACAAAAGATGGATGAGCAAATGGGTGTGGAGAAGTTGAGAAATAACCCAAAATCTCATCTCAGCTTTGGGACAGGACCTTATCCAAATAGTTTTTGTCCAAGTAGGAGCCATCTGACTGCATGAAGAGGTTCTGACAGTGAGCAAATCTCAGATGTTGCCCAATTTTAGAGATTTTGGGGAGTTGAAACTAGATGATCATTATGGCCCTTTTCAACCCAGGCCATTCTATGATTCTATGATTTTTCAACCCAAAATGTTTAATTGTGTGCACAGGCCTTCTCTGATCTCACTGGCTTTACTCAAACAAATGGAGTTTCTTGGGTTGTTTTTTTGGGGGAGTGGGGTGTTTATTTTTCTATTTTTTTTCTATTTTTCAGTTTCTAAGCAAAATTTCTCCTTTTGTTCCTAGTGTTGGGGCTAACAATGTCTTAACTCCTTTGCAGCATCTCAGTCCACCTGCTTCCCAGCACGCCGAAATGCGTATCAGGGAGGTGGAAGCATGTAAATCTGTTTGCTTCCAACCAAAGCATAGAAAACTCATCCCAGTGGTTTCGGTTTCATTTGCTGTTCTCCTGCAGTAATCCAATCTCACAAATGCACATGGCCCAGTGCAGAGCACGAGGCATTCAGAAGAACTGCCAGTTTCCTTAAGCACTGGGAAAACGCACAGATGCATTATCTGGGGGCAAAATGTGCACATGGTATATGGGCATGTGTCTGAAGCAGAGGTCTTGTCATGATGGGGTGGTGGTGGCCTCCATTGGCACCTTCCTGCCTGCTGTGGGACAGCACACACATCTGGGGCTGGGGGCAGGCAGCTGCTCTCGGCAGCTTGTCTGTAGTTGTGAACTATCGTGTTCTTCACGAGCTCCCAGAGAGGGGAGACAGAGAGGAGGGGAATGAGTCAGCCCTTTCAACTCAATTACAAAACAAATACAGGACCCCGCGAGCTGGGCCTCTTCCACCCTAATTGGCATCAGCACCAGAACCCCAGCTCCAGCTGAGCAGTTTTACAGAACAGAAAACAAGTTCTCAAACGAGCCTGAATGGCTGAACCAGGAAATAGTTGGAAATGATCTGTACATTGAGCGCACAGGAATCCAAAACCAAATAAAACAGCCTAAATGTGTTTCACCAGCGCTGCGTTATTTAAATGCAAAAAGTACCTTTTGGGGAGGCTCAGCCAACTGTGTATGGTTTTGCTCTGAGAAGTTTGGTTTCGGAGCCTTGATCAGATTCATATGACAGGAGCGGAGGCTTTTAGCACCCTTAGCTAATGTGATTCACTGCTTATTACAACATCCTTCCTCTCGCTCTGCTCTACTATTGCACTTTTTGTCTTTTTACCACTGATACAATCTGAGAGCCCTATGGATTTGTTTGCTCTGTGCTGTGCAAGGATGGAGTGAAGCATCTTAGAGATGTCCCTGCTCAGCAGAGTGCTATCAGCACATGCTTTGCAAGTATATGCATGTGCTTCAGAGGTCTGTTGAATAGGAACAGACAGTTTCTTTCCACATCATCTTGTTTTATTTCTTTCTGTAAGGTGTTTCAAGCCAGAATTTGTGGAACGTGCATGCAAGAAATGAACTATCAGAGCAACTCCAGAATCTGTGGTTTGGACTCTTTGCATTGTGTTGTATTGAATTGCATGGTGCTCCTGCCACAAATCTTTCCCAGCTTCGGTTCTTCTTCTGATCACAGGCAGTTGGAGATGAGATGGGATACGCGGCTTGTTATCTCTGCTCATGGGACTTCATGCTTTTCCATAAAGCTGGTGGTTCTTTCACTGCTGTAATTCAGTTGGGTGTGTGTCCTGGTTAGACTGGTTGGTGGGACAAGGGCTGTGTTTTTCCTGCTTAACTGACAGTGTGGAGGGCTCCACAAGGAGGAGGAAGGAAAGGAGTTTTATACATGCTGATACTTCATTCTTGAGGGAGAAGGAGACAAAGGAGAGGTGCAGTGCCTCAAAGAGCAGCCCAAACATTGGTGGCCCATGACTGCAGCATGCTGATGATGTCTGACACACAAGTGAGGACGCTCTGGTTTAGCATCTGAACCACATCCATCTTCTGTAATTCACTGAAAGGCAGGAAAAAAAAATTAAAAGAAAAGATGAACAGAGAATTAAAAGCAAAGTTTTCAAAAGCACCTTGGAGATGGAAGGGCACAAGTCACATTTCAAATCAATCTTTTACTTCTAAAGGTTTTTTGAAAATCATCCGAACAGTTCCTGCACTTTCTGGCCTCTGTGTCTTCTTGAAGCCCCCATTTTAAAAAAGCTTGGCGAAAAAAACTTCATTCATCTTTGCTCTCTGAGAAGTTCCTGTTCCCAAACCCTGTAAAACTCCATAAAATCACCAAACCCTAAAACACATCAGCCCCATGTGCAGCAGAAACCATTTGCTGCTGTTAAAACGAAACAAAACAAAACCTGAGCTGTTTTCTTTCTCTGAGGCTCCCTCTCATCTTCATTTAGGGATTTCGACAACAACAAAATGGGCTGGCATGCTGATGGAGGCAGAGCCATCACGTATCTTTTTCACAAAGAAGATCCCGGGATGTTTTCATTTTCCCCCAATGTCCTCCCACCCCCCTGACAACTCCATCGCTCTTTCTTCTTCTCCTCTCTCCCACTTCCCCCCTTTGTCTTTCACTGCCTTCCTCCCCCTTGTCCTTCACTGAAAGCCCCGCTCATTCAGTTCCTTATTGTCATCTCTCCTTGAAGCTACCACCACTGCTGCTCTGGTCAAGAGGTGTTATTTAAAACCCAGCAGCTCCCTAATGTTGTGCAAAGGCATCATCAATCATGCCAGGAAAAGAAAGCAAGGCTCATGTGGGTTCAATTAGAGGCACAGTAGTGGGCAGAAGTGGAAGAATACTTAGAGGGGAGGGCACAGCTGTTCATTTTTAAGGAGAGGAAACTTCACACGTGAAGCATCGCTTGAAGAAGGAGCCAGCTGGGATCTCGGGCAGCAGGAAGGAGACATGAATTCTCCCAAGCTCTTAAAAGTCCCAAGAAACAAATCTTTCTGACACTAGATTTGTTTAAATTTGCATCCTCTCCACTGCATTTCAACCTGTATTTTTTTCTTCTTCTTTTCTCCTTCTCTCCTGCCCTCCCTCCTTGCCTAAACCTCTTTTGGAAGGCAGGACGCGAAGGGAAGCGGTTGCTGCGATGCCAGTCAAAGCAGCACAAAGTGCCCAAAGTGACAGCTAATAAACCAGATGAGAAAACCGAGTGCTTTGCGTGGGCTGCTGTGCGCAGGGTGACCTTGTCAGAGCAGACAGGCGAAACAGGCACATGCCTGCTCAGGCGTCAGGTGGGAGATCTGCAAAGGCAGGCGCAGATGCTGCCACAAAGACCCGACGTCGGATCCCAGGGCAGCAGTGCTTGGGCTGTGCTGTGTGCAGGTAGCCCGAGGTGTTTCCTTCTGAGGTCCTGCAGCCAGGTGCTGCGGTGATCCCACTCTCCAGTGGCACATTTGGGAAGGAGAAGCTGTAAGCCAGTGGGTGCCATCTGCAATGCTTTCTGGGGTAGCGTTGTCCTCTGCGCTTAAAATCAAAGCCATCGTCGTGCTGCATGGTGGGAAGCTGGCTCTGTTATGTCCTGCTACACACATGCACTCCTATCACTTGAAGTTACGCTGCTCTAAAATGTTTCATTATTACATCTGATCATCAGCTTCCATCATATAAAGTGTGGAATAAATCATTGGAAAAAGATGAGAAGTACGGGTCCTACCCACATGGGCTCTGCTTCTCTGCATGGGAATGGCCATGCCAGTGTGCCAGGAGAAGAAAAAGGCATCTGGGTCTGCAAGGAGGTGACTCTTCCAGACTGGTTAGTAGTTTCGTTGGGAAAGTACCTGGAGAAAATGCCAGAGTTGAGAACATGAAGAAGACTGATCTTTTCTCACATCGAGTTCTAGAAGGCTGAAATAAAGCACAGTGAGGTATAGCTGTACCAGGAGATCACTTCCAAGGTAGGGTGGCCCCAGGGATGTTGCGTTTCCAAAAGGCTGTCATGTCCTGCAGCCTTCAGCTAACAAAGACCATGCCCTCACAAGTGCTGGCTTGGACAAGACATTCTTGCCCATTTTTGTAAGGTGTGACTGTTGTGCATAGATATTGCATTTGTTTCCATTTTTGTATTATATTCTGCAATTTGAACTCCTTATTTGGTGTTCTGTAGAGCAGCATCTGATAAGCAGTTCTGTCACTGGAGAAACTCCCTTGTGCCCCACAGTGTGTTTCAACAGCAGGTATCAGCTAGAAGGAGCAATCTTTTATTCTCAAACTAGATCACACCAAGACTAAGCAATGAATTCTTGGAGTGGAAGCTCCATCACTGATAGAGCCTCCCTGTGCTCTGTGTAGAGCTAGCATCCAGCAGAATACAGTCCCAGCCCCTTTTCCTTTATGTTTGGATAGCCCCTTGGGTTTATGCTTTAACCTCCTGCTGTTGAGGTGTCCTGCAGCCACAGTGCTGGAGCACAACTCGATAACAGCATCTGCTAAGGGGGATGCAGGCTTTGCTGCGTCCTGGAGCCGCCTAGCCTGGAACACAAGTGTGGTGCTGCTGCTATGCACGTGCAATATGAAGACATGGGAATATGCTGTCATCTCTTCTCCTGTGGCCATCAGAATTGCACAGCAACCTCCTGAAAACACAGACATCTTCAAGTCATCATCTAGCTACAGAATATATATATATATAATAGTGCAAACAATCCACTGGACAATAAAGAATTAAGAGCCACTGGGGAGCAAAATGACTGGAATGAGAACACAGAGTGTCATTTCACCTGAGCATTCCATGAATCCCCAAATGTGCTACTCTAAATGTGTAGAAAAGGCATTTTTTTTCTATCAGCAGTGCTCCCTGTTTAAACAAACTGCATGGTCTAGAAAAGGGGTTTTGTGCCCACTTGGGAAGTGTCCAGTTTCTCAGCTCTGGGACTGCTTTTTCCATTCTGAATGCAACCATATATCAAAGAGAGACAGGTCTGAACTTCTGCTGAAACCATTAGGGTGTTTTTGCAAAAAGGGAATCCAGGTCTCTTTGATGTGTGCTAGAAAAATTTCCCTTCCTTTTATAAAGCCAGATCAATGGCTGGCGGTGCAAATCTCCTGCGAGCGTACCAGCCTGAATAAAATATTCCCCAGGGACAAAGGAGTGCTGCTGTACAGCTTGGTCAGATTCCTCGCTGGTATCTTCCCCTTCCACAGTATCTTGTGTTTGTGTTTCTCACATTTCTCTTTCTCCCGTCCCTCTCTTTATTCTGGTATGGGGGGAAGAGTCGTGCTTTCAAAATCATTGCATCTAATCTGTGACCATTTTCCCTTCTTGGTTAGAAGGCAGATGTGTTGTTTATTCTGTACTCAGGATTTCGGTCTGCTGCGTTGTTGGGTTATTCCTCAAACCCATAGAAGTGTAGTTTTGATGTAGCTATTGACATTACGGTGGCCTTGGGGAAGTCAGAGCACAGTAACTAACTCTATTCAACCTCTCTTATTGAGAGTTTCTGCCAAGTAAACATATGGGCAGAATGCTCTTGGGTCTGTCCATTGCAGAATCCTACAGGAGGAGTCTATCTGTCAAGTGTGCATGGCCCTGGTGCCCCAAGGCACTCTAGTGACTTTGTTTTACTTGTGAGACACAAAATCAATTGTTGTTACCAGGCTTTAAACAGCTTCGGTCTCTCCTTTGCTGGCTGTAATGGCTTAGTTGTGTCCCTTCCTCCAGACGGAGTCCAGCATCACCATGACCTGCACGGATGGGAAGTGGAGCAAGCAGGTGACCTGTGAGCCTGTGGACTGCGGTGTCCCAGACCAATACCACGTGTACCCAGCCACGTTCAACTGCAGTGAGGGGACCACCTTTGGCAAGAAATGTTCCTTCACGTGCCGACCTCCCGCTCTTCTGAAAGGTAACAGGGGGTACCGAGCTGGGAAAGGCTGCACAGCTAGCACAGGCTGATGCCAGTAATATATGGTACTTTTGCTGCTTTTTTAGAATTCTTTATAATGTTTTAAGTATGAAGAATTATGAGAGTCTAGGGAAGGTTTATTTATATTAGAAGCTAAGTTCCTTTGCATCTCCCTGTTACCTTCCTTTGACCTTTGCTTGATCGTGGCTGGCCGGGAAGGAACGACGCTGAATATTACTTCCATACAACCAAAACACAGAAAAGTCATGGGGATCAATCAAATTGAACTCTCATCTTTTCCCATGCCTTTGCTTTTTTTCTGTGCCTGTCTCCCTTCTATGACTCCTCCATGAGCTTGGAAAGGAGGGAGAAGACTGAGAAGTTCCACGTCCCAGTGGCACAGTCCCCCATCATTGTTTTTCCTGGTCCACCCATCACTTCTCTGTTTTGCTCACTCGTCTTGCCCTAATTCTGACTTTCTCTTTTCTTCATGTTTGAGAATCTCTGCAACTTCTCATTCTTAAAAATGACATTCTCTCCTACATTCTCTCTTTTTCTCCCCGATCTTTCCCGCTGCTTTGGTGGTAGCATCCCCATCCTGCTCAGCACCATCCATTCTTTTGCTCACTGTCAGCTCACCTTTCTGATCCGGTCCTCAGGAAACAAGAAAATTTATCACTGTTAATTTGAAAGAACATTAAAGCCAAATAAACATGTCATCTTGCACTGAAGTAATCTTAACTGCTGTTGTTGACCCAGGTACAATTGCTGTATAAGCTCTTTTTGTACACTTGGTGTCACCTCCTCTGCTAGGATTCACTGAGCATTCCAGAAGAGGTATGTGAAGTATTCCACGTTTCAGTGAAAGGATATGTTTGTTGATTTCTTTATACATAACCAAATTACTCAATTCTTTTAACTCATAACCAAATTACTCAATCCTTTTAACTCATAACCAAATCACTCAATTCTTTTAACTCAGACTTGGGAAGGTAACCACAAGAAGGCAACCCACAGTGAAAGCTAAGGCTCAAGGGGGAGATTTTTATCAAAGAATTCCCTTTTTCCATCCTCAGAGGATCATTTTCACCAAGGAGGTTTTTTTAACTGAAAATCCTTGGAGTTTTTTTGAGGGAGAGCACGAAAACAATGTTCATGAATCATAGAATCGTACAGTGGTTTGGGTTGGAAGGGACCATAAAGATCATCTCATTCCAACCCCCCTGCCATGGGCACAGAAACCTTCCACTAAATGAACTGATGTTAATGAACTTGGAGGAATGTAAAATTACCCCAAGCATCCAAGTGGCTGAGCATCAGAGAGTAGAAGTCATGACCAGCAGGAGCTGGTGACTCTGGCAGGAGTAGCTGCAGGACCCATAACCCACCACGGGTCAGAGAGTACAGCTGTGGGTTTTAGCATCACTTCACTTTTGTCCAGACATTCTGTGAGTTGTAAGTTAATGGCACCACTTGGTGTTCAGCCATCGGTGATGACTAATAGATGTTGCCACTAAACTTCTGGAGAGTGGCGTCCAAATGACTCACTCCTAATTCAATCACTGACGTCATGACAGCACCGTCGGTAATGTCACAGCTTATCACATTGCAGTGGTAGTATGATATCACCATGACTGGTCTGCAGAGCTGCTGCATGAGTCAGAGGAGCATGCTCGTGCTCCAGAAAAGAGCTTTCTTCTGTTCAAAATACCTCTGCAATCATCCACAGCTGGGGAGGGGAGAGAGAAAGCCAGGGCTGATTTAATGAAACTTCTCTTATCTTTGTGGAAAGGGCAGGAGGGCTCCTCCACATAACTTCCTGAGCCCTCCAGAGCCTTTTGTTTTCTTCTTTGAATTCCAGCATCATGCCCAGGCTCTCTTCCTTTCCTCTCAAGGAGGAGGCATTGCTCTGGGGTTTGCAGTTTGTCAGTATTATTTTGGATAACACCAAAGTTGGCTGACTGCTGAAAATACGCCTTGTGAGTTGAGAAGAGTTCCTGCAGCAATGCTCAAGGATTTCAATAGAGTTTTAGGGATTTTTGAAGGGTTAGTGGCTCATAGCTGTGTTTTGTTTCTTAGGAAAAGCTTATTCCTTTTTAACATAGAGTATAAAATAACAAAGAACGTGAAGTGCACTGAGACAAAGCTACTCTTAGCTTAACCTTCTGAAGTCAAGTAGGTCACAGCAGAGGCAAGGAGATCTATCATACCTTTTACCTGTGAGGTGCTGGCCAGGAAAGCTTCCTCAGGAAAACAAGTCTCTAATGAGTATTATGAATCATATTTATCACAGTAGTCCCCAAGGACTGAGAGTCCTCAGCTGAGAATGGCTCCTCAACGTGCTGGAGTAGTGACTGTAATGCTAACAAACAGATGCTGCTCCAAAAGGCTCAAAATTGAAACAAAAAGAACTGATTTGGTGCACGGGTAGAACGCAGAAGAAGAATGAAGAATGTAATGACACTGAACACTGCCTTAAGGTGGGTGGCTCCGTGGCTTTGGAGAGGAGGGAGCTGATGTACAAAGCAGGCTCTCTTTCAGAGAGCAAAATAAGGAAGAGAAATACAAAGCCAGTGAGGTTTCACCTACGCTATAGCATTTCCTGCCATAAGCACTGTCTGCCTGTTGTCTCCTGAAAACAGAGTCCTTAATGATTTAAAACCATCATGTAGAAAGAAAAGATGCATAGGACAGTTGAATGTGCCGAGCCAACTGAGGTGGCTGTTGATATATTATGGGTATAATGACATTTGGGAAATAAAAACTCTCCTGCTGATCGTTGTTAACTTTGCTTTTTGTCCTTCTCAGGGAACAACAGCAACTTGACCTGCATGGAGGATGGGCTGTGGTCCTTTCCAGAGGCTCTGTGTGAACTGATGTGTCGAGCACCATCCATCGTCCCTAATGCAGATCTTCAGACCACTCGTTGCCTGGAAGATAAGCACAAAGTGGGCTCATTTTGCAAGTACAAATGCAAACCAGGTTACCATGTTCCTGGATCCTCCAGAAAAGCAAGAAAGTACGTAAAATAGCACTGCCACACAGTCAGCATGATTCAGAAAGCCACAGGTCAAAAAGACTTTGGGAAAAAAAGATGAGTAATTCATAGCAGGGTGCTGTAGGGAACACCACTGAATACTTCCTACATGAAGATAGTTGTGCACTTTCAAGGGGGCATTTGGCACCTCGCTCTGTAAATCTTTGCCAGTGCTCAAAACAGACCTTACCTTAGAGGTACTCTGTGATATGCAGACTGGAGAGTCCCCTTTGAAACCGTATGGGAAAGTTGTACTGTTGTGTCCTTCTGACTTGGCACAAACCCACTTCAAACCAACCACAGCCCACAAGGCCGGGAAGCAGTTTTTTGGGAGATATGTTCAAGGCCAAAAGAGGAGTTCAGGCTGAGTGTTGGCTTTACAAATAATCATTATTTTCACTCAGAGACCTCATGCTGCAGATTCACAATTTGTTCCCCAGGTGTTAAAAGCTCAAGCACTCTCATTCCCTGCACCTGCTAGCAGAACTCAGAAGCTCTAAAGGCTCTTAGCTGACTCAGCTGCTCACTAAACGGTCTTGTGTTTTTTTTCTGCATGGGAAGGCGGGCCTTTAAGATCCAGTGCACTCAGGATGGCACATGGCTGCCAGGTGCTTGTGTGCCTGTTACGTGTGACCCTCCACCTTCCAAGTTCCATGGGCTCTACCAGTGCTCCAATGGCTTCCAGTTCAACAGCGAGTGCAGGATCAAGTGTGAAGATGATGACAGTCAGTCGGTGAGTCTTTCTTATCCTCACCATCTCACACCATGAAAGTGAGTTTTTATCTTATGGTCCTTGAGGACTCTGATCTTGGAGGGATCAAGTGCCAAACCTCCCTTGAGATCACTTGAGACCAGAGGCAGAGAGATGGAAAAAGGAAATATGTAATTAAAGTAAAAGAAGAGAGCTACTTCAGAGAGCCTGGAAATATTTTTAAGACTGTAGTAATGGTATTTATTAACTGTTAACAATAGGGGAGTAGCAAGAAATGACTGGCTGGACGAGTAATTGGTTGGAAAATCTGTTCTAGTGGCTCTATGATGTAGGTAGGTGTAATCAAATATGGTTTCTGGTATTACATTAACACAGGAGGAGAGAAGGAATAATGAATGAGTATGAGGCGTGTGCACTCATCCTGTTTGTTCGTTCTCCTTCACTTTGCTTTTTTCTCCAGTTCTTTTTCCTGATGCTGTTATATATATGTCATATGATGTTTTATAGGGATTGTCACCGTACAGGTGAACTGTCTGACCTTTCATGGCTTTTTTTGGCTGCAAGGTGTCATTAATTGTTAGGGTCAGATCCTCATCTGGCATAAATCAGCATCTTGCCTTTGATTACCTAGGAACTTTGTTCATTGATAAAGTAGGTCTGGCTTTTAATATTGTGTTTGAAATACTTGGTTTTCCTCACCAGAGTTAATTATAGTTGTGAAGTAAGTAATTTCTCCCAGAAGTGCTGCTGCCACTTCGTATGCTGGGGAAGAGAAAGTGGGGATGTAGAAGCTGTTCTTATATGCACTGCAGACAGCATAGTGCTCTGTCAGAAGCCTTGTAATATCACTCCTGAGGATGTATGAAAAAAGGGATCAGCCCTGCTATGGTGTCAGTGATCCAAGACCCAACTCTGACACCTGTTCCAAATGTTAAAAGCTACAGCAGAAAGGTAGTACAGCAGTGAGGTTTCTGAGGCTGGAAAACTGCATTTGTTCCCTGCAAAAGCTGTCCTGCCTACTTGATGGGAATGAGAGGCAGAGCCTAGGGTTGTGTATCAGAACACCCTAAAGAAGTTTGGTTTGGCTGCTGTGACTTCTTGAGAGGTAGGAAATGCACAGATGGGTGCAATTTGGGTTGGAAGCTCTGGGATGCAGCACCTTTGTGCATCTCTGCTTTCTCAGACTGACTGCACCAGGGCACTAACAAATGGTATGAGGGCCTTATGGTTGCTTTGGAAGGAGCTAGACGTGAAGAGAGGCAGGGATTGGAGTTAGGGTTACATCAACAAATGAGCTGTGGAAAGTGAGAGATACAGCTACATCTCTGTTCAGTGTAAGGAAGATTGTAGTGACTGCTTGGATGCAAAGGTACCTTGAGCAGAGAAGCAGATAACATCCTAAGAAGGGGATTTGCAGAGAAAGGTATTTCCAGATATCCTAGAAAACAGACAACAGAAGATGAGGGAGGACTCCTGGCACAAGCCAGAACCACTTGAGAGGTGTTAATTATTTAAGGATTAAACCCCACTAAGTCTCTCTCAGCTATATAAGGTGATAATGCACATTGCATCCAAGCAAGAAACCCAGCAGGGATTTTCACAAGAGATTTTGCAGGTCAGGGAATGATGGACAGGATGTTACTATAGCAATGGATATCCTGGGATCTCTGAGCACATAGCAGAAACTACACAGTAGTACTCTAGAGCACAGCCAACTCTAGGAACATAAATCAGGTTTCATGGCTCACCTTTAGAAATCATAATTGAACCCTGGCATGCAAACTGTGGTGGAAGTGCAACACACTTGCTAAAACAGCAAATTGTGCTCAATTATCACTTAATCGTCTCTTCTTGAACTCGTCACTGTGCTGAAAGATCATTACTCAGCCCTACAGATGGCATCTCTTAATCACCAGCAGTGTAATGGTGATTTAAGCAGGTACCTCCCCAGCATCCAGAGGCAGGGTCTCCCATTTCTGCACATTGCACAAATCAGTGGTCAGATCTAAATTAATTGCACTCTGCAAGACTGGCCTTTAGGTGGGAGTCGCCAAACTGGATCACATCCTGAGTCCATCTGCTCCATTACACTTTCATAAGATTTTCTTATTACATCTGGCAATGGCCAGATGTCTAGAGGAGGGAATGCAGCTCCCATGCAATAGTCTGCCAATGAGACCACTTTGCATCTCACTGAACATTGTTTTCAACAACGAAGCTGAGCAAAAAAAAGGATTAGGGTATCATACACAAGGCTAGCACTGAATGCAGTGCAGTTTCCTGTGTCTGTACAAGCGACTTGTGCAGATCCCTCTGCAACAAGGGGCATGGGGTGCAGGGAAAAGCTCCAAAGGCAAATTCAGCATCCTTGGTGGAACTGGGATCCAGTATACAGAGCACGTTACAGAATCCCCAAAGACATCCACCCTAGTCTCCAATAGCAGGGTGAGTAGGCTGAGGGCAACAATGCAAGGAGAAGCAGAGATCCTGTCTGGTTCTTGCACTGAGCAGGGTCACTGTGGGAGGCTTGGAGCCCAACCCCAGCACCTTCCCATTGAATGTCCCCACTGCCCTGTGGCAGTGAGGCTTGCAGCTCCTGCAGAACAGCTTGTGCAAAAATCCCCAAAAAGATTGCCTGCACGTCGCTTTGTTGTTTCTAAAGGGCATGATATTTCTCCCTGGACTTTGGTATTCATTCTCCAGTATTGTACAGAGAATCTTTTCTATAAGAGAAATGTCATATTCCATTCCTTGCCCATTCCCACACCAGAGGGTTTGTTTCTCTTTTACACTTGCCTCTGTGCATGTCTGTCTCTGCCTCTTCGCTTGCTGTCATTCAAGGCAGCCAAGCTCTAAAGAGCACGTTCTGCCCTGCTAAGCATCCCTCTCATGTCCCGCTTCCCTTCCTCCTTCAGATGGCCATTGGGGATTCTTTCTTTTTTGAGACAAATATGATGCAACTAGTTAGAAAATGGAAGAGGGAAAAGGTTGTCTGCAGTCAACACGAACCTTTCAGCAAGAGGAAAGAGGGCAGATGGGGTGAACACACCTTTTTTGCAGCTAGAGTGGATCCATTTTAATGTAGAGACCTTGCAAAGACCTTGTAAAGACATAACATTGCATAGAGAAGGCGTGCGTGTGCTTTTGTGTGCAACGCAGCCTCCCTTTTATTTATTATTCAGCAGGGAAGTCCTTCCTTTGCCCCCCACTACTGGCAGTCCCAGCCGGGGCTCTGCCAGCTCCAGAACTTTGCTCCCAGCTCGTCTCTGCCCGCTTCTCCCCTCTCACCCTGCGCCTGCTGTCCTTCTTGTTGTTTTTGTGACCGTCCTTGTTATCTCCTTGTCTCTTTCCCAGGGCCGTGGAAGCAATGTGATTCACTGCCGGAAGGATGGCACCTGGAGCGGCTCCTTTCATCTCTGCAGGGAGATGCAGGGCCAGTGTGCTCTGCCCACGCAGCTCAACAGCCACCTGAAGCTGCAGTGCTCCGGTGGATACGGCATAGGTCTGTGGGCATGGGGAATGAGGAAGAGGATGAGAGGGAGGGAGAAGTCTGCAGTCCTTAGGGTCACTTTATGCTATGGAGCCATTTACCTGAGTGGGGGGCTGCTGAGGGCAGGAAGCTGCTTTGAGATGATGCTTTGAGCAGCCAGGTATCATGTAATGTGCTGACTTCCTGCTCCTTCCAGCATTCCCAGTTTCATTGTGTCTCTTCTTGGCCAGCAAGTCAGGCTGCACCAGAGACACATCCAGTCCTCAGAGTAAGGGAAGAAGGTTGTACCTACACTTGCTCTGACAGGTTTGTAATGTCCTTGAACACTGCGCGCACACACACACACACACACACACGCTACCTTTGATGCCAAAAAGCAGTGTACTGGCAGGGAAGCACAGCAGCAGGAGCATTCAGCTGTTCCTAGGGAATGAGACCAGCCAAGCATCCCCTTTGGTATGGCTGTTTTTCAGAAGCCCATGTGAGGATGTTTGCCCCTTCCTTCTGGGGTCGCTCTGCAAGGAGTTTGGAGTTTTGGGGGATGTTTTGAGCTTGGCTTTGTGTCACCCAGGCATACATTCCACACTGAAAATACACAGCATTATACTTTCAACCCTTGCTGCCCGGGTTGCAAGGGGAGCAGCCCCGCGAGGCCCCTTCTGCAGCCCCGTACCAGCCCCCCCTGCCTCTGCCCATCCCTTTGAACTTGGAGAAATTTCCTCATTTTGCAGCTCCCTCATTATATCTCAGCCGCGCGAGGGACCACGAGCTGCCTTGTGTTCCCTCCCTGGGGAGGAGAACACGACCTGGATGAGATCATCGCTCTGTAATGATGCCAATTACAGATCGTATATCAAAACAATTCAGACCCGCTCCTCTCCGTAAGTGTAAATAGCGTGGCGGTGAGCAGGCTGCGGCAGCTCTTAATGTGGCGAGGTGTTTTACCCTTGAGATGAGGTTACCTACCAGGGTTTTGCAAAGAGGGAAATTCGGATTTCTGGTCTGGAAGGGGGGGAGCAGCTGGGGGCTGAGAGCAGGAGAGCCTACAGCTGCCCTCCGTCCTCCACCAGCCCCGCTGGCTTGGCCACCAGTGCTGTGCCTTGATGTGGAGTCTGGTGGCCCTTGACCTTCAGGAGGGCTGCAGGACAGGAGGTGAGGGGGATCCTCATGGAGATGTGAAGAGCAGCTTTCAGAGGGCACAGCGGCCATTGGCTCTTATCCTCAGCAGATGGAGACATACCACACGCTTTGTTAGGTTTGTCCAGCATCACCTTTTGGGAGCAGGTTGTTGGGATTTTGATGGGGTTTAACCCCACAGGCAGCTCAGTACCATGCAGCTCCTTGCTCTGCCCCAGTGGAATGGGGAAGAGAATCAGAAAGGGAAAAGTACAAGAACTCACGGGTTGACATAAAGACAGCTTACGAGATAAAGCAAAAGCTATGTACATAAGCAAAGCAAAGCAAGGAATCCATTCACTACTTCCTATCAGCAAACACACGTTCAGATACTTCCAGGAAAGCAAGGCTTGTCATGTGTAGTGATTTATTGGGAAAACAAATGCTGTCCTTCCCAGTGTCATCTCTGCCCCACACCCCCAACTTCCTCCTCCTTTACCTTGGTTCTGTTGCTGACTGTGATGCCATATGGTATGGGATGACCCTTTGACCAGTCTGGGGCAGCTGTCCTGGCTATGCCCCCCAGCTTCTTGCACACCCCTGGCCTTTCTGCTAGCAGGAGAAGCAGCGAAGTCCTTGGCTGTGTGTAAGCGCTGTTCTGCTGCAACTAAAAACATTGGTGTGTTATCACTGCTGTTTAATCAAAAATCTGGAATACAGCACCATGTGAGCCTCTACATAGAAAATTGACCTTACTGCACTTACCCAGCAGTCCACGGAGCTGCTGTCACATGTGCTACGAAAGCAAAACAAACCCCAAGTGCTGCCCAGGCCTCCCTGGCTGAGCAAGGTCTGCTTGCTCCCACTGACTCCTCCACGAGGGAAGATGTGAGAAGGCAGAAGCAGGTGGGGAAAATAATAGCATCCAGTCACGGTGACTATGAATCCCACACACCTTTGGTAATTCCTCAGACACCTAATCTGCCCTTCCAGGCTAAGGTGTGTGTTCAGCCAAAGGTTCAGCTCTCCAAACCAGTGCAGAGATTAATTCCTCCCCCAGTGCTGATGGGAGTGCAGAAATCCTAATGACATGTTTGCAGCAGCTGTGCCATTCAGGAGTGATTTTCCAGGGGGGAAATGGTAATGGTCCAACATACTATGGCTTATGGTTGTGTCACCACAGGGCTCTGGGATATTGCTGCAGAGGATCGCAGCGTGTTTTAATAAAGAAAGGACAGGATTCCCACTGGGTATGACAGTTAATCAGAGGAAAAGCAGGTTTATGTGTGAAGAAAGCCATCATTACCTCTCTGTATTCTTCTTATCAAGTATGAGATGTAGGTGATAGCTTGCCTGCAGTACCATTGGGCTTGGTCACATCTAAAGGGCTGTTTCTGAAAGTCCATAAATCTGACAGATGAAGCGAGGGGATTATGTCATGTCACAGGTGAGATGAGTTTGGCAGCCTTACCTTGATCAGCCCCATCACTTGAAAGAGCAGTCAAAATGGAAAAAAAAAAACTCCACATTTTCTTGGTGATCTGAAAGAAAGAAACTTGACCCCTTTCCCTGGAGTTAATAGCCAGAGAAATACCTAGATATGCAGCTCATACAAAAAGGCCTTGGTGTGTTTGCCACCCCCACAGTCTGCTGAGATGCAGGGTTGTACTCAGCATTTCACGTGTGGTTAGAAGATACGTGATAGTTACGGTTGACTGCTAATTGCAATTTAGGAAAAATGAGCCCTAATCCTGTCCTTCAGCTGAAAGGATGCTGGAAGGGTAAGGAGCTGCATGCTTTGTCCTGTAGCTTTATCATCTCCTTTTTTGTGCAGGGGCAGAGTGTACCACCTCGTGTCTGGACCACAGCCATGAGCCCATCCTGCTGCGTGTGAATGAGACCGTGCAGGACATCCAGCACTGGATGAACCCTCAGAGAGTGAAGGTCAGTTCCTGGCAGTTGTGCTAACTACATCCCATGCTACATGTTTATGTGCAGCGAACAAACTGTCAGTTAGCCATGGTTCATCCAGTGAGGGGGAATGTGTGGGAAAGGTCTTTGGCCCTTTAGAAAATAATTCCTGGGTTTTGTAGTGCCTTTGCATGCTGTTCTAGCAGTGTGGTACCATTCTCTCCAAGTTGTTTTCTCTCTGTGATTTCCCAATGAAAGTCCATTCAAGGTAGAGGCCCCCAGTCGTCATGCTCAGATCCACCCAGGACTTCCAAGGGGCTGATGCAGGGGTTATGATTCATTATACAGGAACATGTGATGGAAAATGAGAGAATGGGCAGGTTTTATTCTCTTCCTCCTCTTCAGTGTTTCGCACACTTTGGGTGGTAGGGCTGGATTTTTCTGCACTGCTTTTGGCTGACGAAAAAAGCTGATACAGGGGGTATTTCATCTCCCAGAGCAGCAGAGCTGGCTGGGTCCTGCCTGCCCCCCCCATTCACCCGCATGTGAGAGCTGCCAGCTCAGCACAGCCCCTTCCAGAGGTCACCACTTCTCCCTCTGCCTGCTGCAGAAGCACAGCAGCATTAACCACTTGCAGCGTGCTGTCCTGGGTGCCCTCCAGCTTATGAGTCAACCCCCATGGGGGCATACACACCTATACACAGTGCTTTACACACACGCTCAGCCGTGTGCAGGCAGCAAATAGCTGCTTGGTTTCACATTGATATCAGTGGGAAACACACACGCATGCTGTGGCTGCGGTTAGGGAGATGCTCTGAAAATCTCTGCTGCTTTGTATTTCCCTGTTTCACATGGGGCCGTACAGAGCAATAGAATAAATCCTGGAAAGGGATGAGGAACATAAGTCCACAGAATACAACAAGCTCACAGTGTCCGTCCCCGCTTCCCACTCCCTCCAGGCAGCGAGATTATATTACTGCCTAAGCCCGGGCCTTGCCAAGTTTCTGGCACGGAACATAAAGAAAACCCCTATCTGTATTAGGGGCAATTTCTCACTGGCCCTTTCCCGAGTGCTAGACTTTAAAGTGGTTTTGTAATTCATGGTGAAATAAAGTGACAGCTTCCCTCCCGTTCTGTGCCGTGCGCCTTCGTTTATTGATGCGGGTGCGCAGAGGGAGCTGTAACGAGTTTTATACCTTCAGGTCTCTGGAGGGCTCATTAGGCAGCAGGGAAAACACAGAGTGCTAAAGGGGGGATGAGGGGAGCAAGGGAAGGAGGCAAAATCACAGTTTCCCAGAGTACAGTGGTAAATAAGATCTTGTTTGCCGTTTTGGTTAAGGACCTTGCAATTGGACAGTAGATGTAAGTATGTCCCATAACACTTCGTAGATAGTGAGATTTAGGCAGGAACATGTGCTGGATGATGGTGGGGAGGCTTTGGGGGCGTGCAGAGGAAGTGGCTCTGCTCTCATGTCTCCTTGGAACTCAGAGCTCTGTCCTGGCAGCCCCGTTGGGTCGTGCAGGTTTTTCTGCTTGTCAAGCAGCAGTTGTGTGCATAGTGCTGAGAGGAGACCCATAGGGTAGGCAGCTGGCGGAGTGATGCTGCATGGGGGGGTTTGGTAGCTGTGAGACATCCATCTTGTTCTGCTCCCCAGACAGGGGACGTCACCCGCAGGGAGCGTGCGCTGTGGGAAATGCTGCTGCCAGTGGGGACCCTGGAGAGATGGGGATTGCGATGCTTCAGGGGAAGGTCCCCATGGCCATATGCTATATATCATTCATAATATGTGTCTCTGTTTACGTTCGCTGACAGCTCGTTGTGCCATGCGAGCGAAGCGACCAGCTGCTTGCATTTACAGGAGTCTTTGTTGGTCACAAAGTATTTCGGTGATACAGAGAAGCACTTTCTGTTACTTAACTTCAGGCACAAATAATGTGCAGATCAGTGCGGTATGAGCAGCAGATAAAGGTAGAACCAGTCTGTGGGACTTGCATTTGAGAGGACATGTGCAGATAAAACACAGGGAGAGCCAGCAAGAAAGAAACACATTTGTGTGTGGCTGCTCAAGCAACAGCTGTTATGGAGGCAAAGTGGGAAGAGGGAACCATCCCTCCTTTGGGAGTTATTTAGAGCAGAGCTGTGCAAATCACTTGATTTTTCGGTTCGCTGGAAGTTCTGTCAAATTAAAACATGAAAAAAATGTTTTCTCCTAACCAGAGAGATATTTTTGTTGTTGTGATTTTTGGTGAACCAAAAAATTGCAGGAAAACCATGTTGGGTTTGAACATAACGTAGTATTTAACTTCCAACTATTTTTGTGTCGTTTAAGAAAAATGAGTTTTTTTATAGCTTTCTGCTTAAAAAAATTGAAATAAGCTTAGAAATCAAGTGTCTTCTCACAGGAACAAGAACCAAATGTCATCACATTGATGTGTTTTTTCAGAATTGGTTGAGGCTTTGAGTTGCTTTGCTTGGTCTGAAACTGATTGCTGAAATCAGTGCGAATTTGCAGTGTCTCCCAAATCGTTTTCAGCAGGAACAAAAAGCCACCTGTAATCTGCTGTGTGTCTGCCGTTCTGTGGCAGACTGCATTTGGGACAATCATTGCTCTTCCTGTGATTTCCCATTTGCTGCATGTATGCAAGGGGCAGCGAGCTGTTGAAGACACCTATAGATAGAGCTGCCAAGGCTGACTACAAGGCAGTGAAGAGAAAAAAGTGAAGTGCCTCAGAAAGACAGCTTGACAGCTCTTTCCCAGTGAGTGCCGATACCTAATTTCCTAGATTGTCTGAATTTGGATGCTTGCCTTTCTGCCAAATACTGTCTCAACACGTGTGATAGCCTTAAATGGGTTGGCTGGCAGTGGGGTTTAGTGAGTAGGGACGCTGCCGCAGTGGTGGCAATGTGTTTCGCTCTATCCTTGCACCTGAACACCACTGTTCCTGAGACTGTGGGTGCTCAGAAGATATCAAAAATGATGTGAGCAACCAGCATCTGTTCTCCTTCAGGTAGAGTTTGCAGTTTTCCTCCTTTCTTCCCTTCCAAAGAGTGTCAGGCTTGTTTTGCAGACTGGGAAACTGAGTCGCAGCTTAGGGCAGTGAGGGGGCTGAGCCCCAGAAGTGTGGGAGCTGCCACCCATCTGCAGCCCTGGGAGGCCACAGCCACGAGCCACGTCTCCCTGCCCTGTCAGCAGCACTGATCCCCTCACCAGCCCTCATGGTTAATTGCCATGCTCATTTCGTGCCTGAAGAGAGGGTTTGCTGAGACCGGTAGGTGCCAGTCCTCATGCTTGGGCTCCAGGGGACACTTGACCCATCTAAGGTGGAGGAGAGCTCCCCAGGGCCTCTCCTGGGGAAACCTAATCCCCTCTGCAGGCCACAAATGGTTGACATCATTGTGTTAGTCCCACAATGGGGAGGGAAGCGCCGTGACCAGAGGCGCTAGGTCTTCCCTCACAAGGAGAAAATGACAGCTTGATTTGCTTTCTTGGCTCTTTGTTACCTACTGTGGGAGCGCATCCCAGCTTCCTCTCTGTTCACAGCAGATGGAGTCACAGCCACCAAACCGCAGCTGGAGCTGAATGGCATTTCTGGAATGGGGACAGACCAGGCGGGAGGGCAGCTGTGCTGCAGGAGCTGATGCACCAGGGCAGCGGGGCCATCAGGCAGCCATGTGTCACCACAGTGACCCAGAGAGGGGTGAGGCTGTGCTACATGGGCTTCCTCAGCACCGCCTAGCATGTGAGGCCTTCCCTTCTGTATGCGCCGGTGCCATCTTGGTACGGGTGCTGCCTGCACCCCTCCTTCCTTTCCATTCACCTCATTGCCCCAGACTGCACTCTTGCACCTTTGGACTCTTGGCACCACAAGAATCTTCTCTCATTCCTCAAATTCCTCAAATTTCCAGCCCAGATTATCCCTTTTCCCTCTCCCCCTCAGCCCAGCAGCAAGCTGAGGGCATAGACAGGACTTGTGGTGTGAATCTGGGTTTGGCAAACCAGCAGGGGGACACAGAATTGTAATCGAGGGCCTTTCCCAAGTGTACCCTGCTTCCAGCTCAGTGGATGTCAGCAGGATTGAACTTAGTTGGAGCAGCTCTAATAGTCCCTGCTAGTAATGAGTCATCTGAAGAGAAGGCAAAGTAACTGGGATTAAGCCATTGGCACACTGTGCAGGACTGTCCATCTGAATCCTTTTGGCATATCCTGGCTGCTGCAGAGAGAAGAGCTGAGTGGTGTTTGTGAAGAAAAGCTCTGGTTATCTGCTTGGACCCAGCCTTTCCTAGCTGCCGTATGAGTGTCCCACTGACCCAGTGATGGTTGTCCCACAAGGTCAGCTGGCTCTCTTGTGCTACAGCCTGGGGCTGCACACCCTTTCCTGGAGATTGGCCAGCCAAAAGTTGTTCTAGCCACTGGGATTCAAGGCAGCCTTGAGCGAGAGCAGAGATCTGTGCTTGAGGAGACTTCACCTCCCATCTCTTCCTCTAAGGGGACGACAAAATTCAGTAGCTGCTGGATTTTTAAAACTGGGAGGGCCTGGAAAGTAGTGCATTTTCTGCAAGGGTTTGGTCTCGCTTGGAAACCTCTTTTCTTAAGAGCCTGTTGCAGGGCTGTTTGGCTCCTTTTGATAGCTCCACATGCTTGCACACATCAAGGGGTTGTGTAGATGTTGATGCTTCTTACCAGGAATGTGAGGTGCTGAATGGAAGTGCACATTTTCTCATTGGCTGGCCTCAGATACGGGAGGCATATGGCTGAGTTTTTCTTCTTCAGTTTTTGTTTCAAAGGCTCTTGAAGGGCTTCCCCCTCCCAACCTGTTGACTGGTCTTGTTTATTTTGAAACCTGGAAAAGTTTCTTTTCCTTTCCCTCCGAAGTGCAATAAACAGAAGAGTGGGGAAAACAAAACAAAACAAAAACAAACAAAAAAATCCAAAACAAACAAAAGACCCCAAACTCTGACCATTTGTGGCAGGCAGCAGGCTGGAAATCTCCAGCTGCCTGTCTGGAGCGCATTGGGGGAGCGTCTGACACTGCAGGGCCCCCGCACCTTGCAGCCTCCCTGCCTTGCCCCGCTCACACAGACGGGCCCTGTTGTGAGGCAGGTGGGGCAAGCCGGGCTTGACTAATAGTGGAAAATCCGAGAGCATCGGAAAGATAAACAGCCCCAGTCAGATAGTATAAAAGTCCTTTTTCTAGCACACGCCAGGTAAGCCTCGAATGACAGAAACTGTAAAAACATGCTGAGGTTCCCCTGCAGATGGATTAAATTAGGCCTTGGATAAACAGGGGGTGGGATGGCTTGTACGTCAGGTCTTCCCAAATGTTAATCCCTTCCTTCCCCAGGACTCCGTCCAACCCCAGCCCCCGTCCTTTGATGAGTACCCACGTACTCATGTTGGCCATTGTTTCATCTGTGGAAGGTAACCCCAAATGATCCTCATCCTGGTGAATGTTGTGGTGTATGGATGGTTGTCCCATCACCCGGACCTCCATGGTACTGACCTGCCACCGCCGCTGACTGGCCAAGCCTCTTATTCTTTAAAATCTAGGTTTCGTATCTACAGGCAAATAATGAGTGTCCATGTTGTGTCTTTGAGTGGGCTGGTGTTTCAATTTTCTCCAAAACTAAGCAGTTCAACTTTTTTCTTACAGAAAACCTATAAATGTAGTCAGTACCAAAATTATTATTAAGCTCATACAGTGTAACAGATGATGCTGTCCTTTTTGAGTATTATTTTGAAGGTGTGTGGTGGGAGGTGCTTCTATTTAAGATCTAAAGGATGGTGAGAAAATGTTTCTGAAAGTCCACCTTTAGCTGTTTGCATCTTCAGGAAGCGCAGATATGACAGGTAGCAAAACAGAGCAACGCTTTGCAGCACCAAAGAAATCCTTAAATGAATTCCTAAAATGCCTCCCCACTTCCCATGAGCTCGACAGTGGACCCCTTCCTTTGCCTTTTTTCTGCCACGTTCCCCCACCTTGAGTGAAATATTGGACATGACATTTTCGGGAAAATGTTAAATATTATTTTACTCTCAAATGTTCTGTTATTGCAAGTGTCAAGTCCAACACTTCTTGTAAATACCTGGAGGAGAGCCAGGTCCTGAGAACACAAGAGGTGTTAGGGAACTAAACTTCGTTTCTTAAGTACAGTAGGGCCGTAGGAGCCAGCACACCGACTTTCCGTACACTGATTTCCTTGTCTTGACTTGATGTTTGTTTTTTTTCTTCTCTCCTCCAGAGCGTTGTCTGCACAGCGGGACTCAAGTGGTATCCTCACCCTTCCCTGATTCATTGTGTCAAAGGCTGTGAGGTGAGCATTTGCGTTCGCTCAGATGGGCCGTGCTTACTCCCCTGCATGTTATCGTAACAGTCACTGCAGCCATATGGGCTGGAAATGTTTTTCCAGTGGTGCAAACAGGCTTTTGCCCTGGATGTCCTGTCAATTAAACAGAGATCTGTACCAGTTCTAACACTCAGTGGTGAAACTAGTGGTTTTTCTAGAGCAGATGATTGGCTGACTCTTGCATGAGCAAAATGATCAAACGGCTCGATATAATTGGCCGACCTTTGGAATTTCCCAGGATGTGGGACTTTCTGGAAGACTGCAAGAAGATTCAGTTATTTTACTTGTTTCTGACATCTTACTGGAGGACCAATTCTTTGTGAGGCCAGCTAGACTTTGAAACTGTGATGTGGAGATTAAGAAAGCCAGAGGAAGGAATGATGCCATTTGCTGGACAGCACAGCTGAACAGTGAACAAATCGTGCTCACTGTCCTCTGTCTTATTTGCAGTAAGCAATTATTTTGAAGAGTGATGTTTCTGTTGGCAACAATCTCTGTGAAGTCTGAGAACTCTTAAAATACCGCCAGTGCACAAGCAGCACTGGATCACGTCTCAGGTCATACAGTTTCCATCATGCCAGCACTTGAGTGTCTCACCAGGACTGACATGAAGAAGCCTTGTGGCATCTCTGTGAGGCCGGGCAGCTTCATGCCCATTTTGGAAATGGAATAACTCACAGGCAGAAGCTTTGGCTGCATGGACATGCTCTGGAAGAGCTGTCTCTCCAACCCAGATCCCCCGACTTTCTGCAGCACCATCTGCACTCTTGGCACTCAGTAACCCAATTTTACAAGCGCACTGAAGTTATTTGTCCGCAGTGGTAGACCATGGCACAGAGCTGCTAAATCTGACACAAAACACAAGGCCACACTGCTGTGCAGCACGATTTCTCTTGAAGTGAAAGACAGGTTTCCTTCGCATACAAATGTTGAGCCCAAGAGGGTAATAACTCTCCAACAATGTAATACTTTCTGTCTAGTTGTTCCCTAAATGAAAAGCATTCTGCTGTCAGTGCTTTGAATGTCATAAGCCATCTCACGCATTGCATTCATGCAGGCTGGCTATGTGCCCCTATTCTCCAAAGAGAGCTAAAATAACATCCAGTGGCCATTAAGAAATGCCATTCAGGTGCTGATGCACCATCGGGTATCCATTCTCCTGCTGTTTAAGGATAGTTGTTACTGACGCAAACTTTGCAGTGATGTAATAATTTACCAGCAGCCATTATTACTGTCACGCTTTTTCTCCGCGTTTTCTTTCCTTCCATCCTTGTTAATTGCCAGATCTCTCCACATCAATAGAAACTTCCTTCTTTTCATCATTCATTCAGCAGTGTCACTGCATCGCAATCTGTCATCGTGGGAGGCTTTGCCCAGACAATTGATAATGGCCTCTAGCATCATTTTCCAGGATCCAAGAATGGGCCAGAGCTTGTTCTCTGGCAGTAAGATTTCAGAAGAAATGCCGTCTTCACCAAACCTTTCTTCATGACTATGGAAACAGGAAATAATAAGTCAGTAATACTGGGCCATTAGGCTGATACAATCCCTAATGTATTAATATCCTTAGCATTAGGGAGGGTTCCCTGAATAGCAGGCTGTAAGCAGGGCATTATTTCACTCTTGACACTCAGAGCAGTAACCCAGACTGCTGCAATGTGATTTTTTGTCGCTCCCTAGTGGCTGGAATAGAGGTTTATGAATCAGCCACGTACCTGGAGGCAGCTAACTTGGATGTTTTCATGAAAGCTAGTCTTCCCACCCCCTATCTGTATAGTCAGTGGAGAAAACAAAGTTCCTCCAAAAATGTGGGAGCACTAAGATATGCATGGAGACCTCTACAGACTTCAGCACCCAGTCCTCCAAGGCTTCTCAATTGAGGATTTGGGTACCAAATCAGAATAGATGTTGTTTGTCCCATTGTTTTCCTCCATAAGATGATATTGCTTGCTTGCGTGCCAGTGCAAGTAAAAAGCAAATTCTTCTACAAGTTCTTGTTAGTATTTTTTCAGTGTTCATAGATACAGACTCAGGCATAGGAAATTAAAACAAAGCCTTTCTTACCGAGCAGGCACAGCCAGGCAATGCAAGGGAAGCACAGAGAAGCCTATCAAGATGTCTCAGGAGGCTGAACAAAGTTCATTGTTTTTAATATGACCAGATTGGCATTAAAATCTCTCCATCGATTTATAAATCTTTTCCATGCAACTCATTTATATTATATTAATGAAATTGGAACGGCTTTTTCAAGTCAAGGCCTTTGTCTGTATAAGTAAGCCAATCTCTGTGGAAGTCAGTGGAGTTCAGCCAGTCCGAAGGGGTTGGAATCTCACTCTGTAATTCTGCATTCCTTATTGGCATTTGCAGTATTTGCTTGTAACTAAAGCAGTGATGCTCAATTAGTCACTTCATGGGAGTCCTGCTCTCATCCAGCATTGCCATTATGGCCTGGAATTCATATACCCTGATAGAAATATGTAAACTTGCAAAACAGCAGCAGTAAAAGCTTGCATCTTCACCAGTCCACAGACTCTGTCTCAGTATGGATGGCCTTGGCCTTTCAGGTATGCTCTCACTGCTGCTTCCTTAGGTCTCTATCATCAGGAAAATTTGGGTACTGCAGCTGCTGTGAAATCCTCCCCACCCACTCTGCAGAGATGACTTCTTGTAGGAAACTCCCTGGTGTGATTGTCTCAGTGCAGAGCAAATGAATTTTCCAAAGAGCAAATAAAATGGGAATGGCCCCATGAGCCCGTGAGTGTGAGAAGTACTATGGAGGTATGACTGTGCTCTGTGCTTAGCATCCCTTTGTCTGAGCTTTCAGAGCTGCCTGGGTTCCTTGCATCTGGCACGGCCACTTCTTAGCATCAGGCACACTTTGGATTTCCAAGAAAGATCCAGACCTCAAGCCTTTTCTTCAGAATGGTGATTATTATTCAGGTCCTGTGCAGCGCAGAGACCACATTTTCTTTTTCAAGGTGATTTATGAATTTTGCTTAATAGCTCTCCTCAGCGTCCCTCTGAATAATTTCCATTATCCCAGCTCTGAGCAGTGGAGTGGAGGAAGATTAGGTGTCATGGCCAAGATCAGACGCAGTAAGTGCTAACTGGGGAACGAGTGCGTGTGGACCCCGTACTTCACTCAGACCACTTCCACTTCTCCTTGAGATGTGCTTTTATACCCTCCTTGCTGACACTTGTTGCATAGTTAGGAGAGCTGTGGTTGAAAGTGCAACTATTAAAAGCATGCCAGTTTGGTTGCTATGCATTACCTTCTTCTTATCCCACATAGTTTCGGAAGGTTAGCTTAAAATTGTGAAAAGGTGACGCAATTTTAGATGCCTTGATGCTGTCTCTGGGCCTAGTCGAATTAATATTCCTGAAGCATCGTCTTATGTGGGATGTGAAAAGCCAACATGGGCTCTTGTGTCCTTCCCTTTTCTGTCTGCTTTGAAGAGAGAGGGGAATAATCATCTCTTGCTTTTCAGGGCAGTTGGTAATGTTATAAACTACATGGCTTTTTCAAGGCTTCATCTTCTCCTTCTGATAACTGTTACTGTTAATCCATGCCCATGTCCTTAGTCTCTGCTCTTTTATTTTCCAGCCTTTCATGGGAGACAACTACTGTGATTCCATCAACAATCGAGCCTTCTGCAACTATGATGGTGGGGACTGCTGTGCCTCAACAGTCAAGACCAAAAAGGTAGGGATGTCCCTTCCTGTTTTCTTTGGGAATTCCTCGGGGAGAGTTGTTTTGTGTCCAGGGAGATTTTATTTTGTCTAGAAGAGGGGATCCAAGGTCCTCAGAAAAACCTTGAGTCTATGCATCATGTCACTATGGATGCTCGGTTCTTCTTGGTCCATTTTGCAGTTCTTTCTTGATAGGCATGTGCATTTCTCATCACATCCTGCCTTATACCTGCACAAGACATGTCCAGTTTCAGGCCATCATTCATTCTTGTTGTAAATGAACCCTTACTGATCTGTAGGCAAAGACTGTCTCCCTCCAGAGTGCTGGGGCATGTTCATCAGAAAAGCAGTTGGTCATGCATTTTGCATGTGGTGCTCAGGAGATCTTCCATCAAGCACTCTGAGAAGGGTGTATTTCCCTGTCCTGATATCCGCCCTCAGTGCTCAAAAGGGAAACTGAAAGTTAGGATTCATGAGGAGAAGAGCAGAGAGCAAAACAAATGCATCAGTAGGTCTGAACTTTGACCCATTCGCACAGTGTGTATTTGAATGATGGGATGCATTCCCATAGAGCATTATTAACACCAAAATATATTTGAATTCAGAACAAGAATAGGCACATTCATGGATGTTTAGCCCATCAGTGGCTATTAATCACAGTGATCTGGATGCAGTTTCTGGCACAGGAATATCAGAAACATGGACTGCTTGAGCAAGGGAAGGATCCCTCTATACATCCCCATATTTTTATGCTTTTTTTAATACTCGTTTCTGGCCAGTGTTGCAGAGACAGCAGAGTGATGAAGCTTGTGGTTTGAAGCACTACGACATTTCATATATTTCTAACCGTGATAGATTTTGAACTTTTTTTTTTCCCAAAGAAAGGAAAGAAAATCATAGCCTCTGGCATGTAAAATTTTTACCTTGTCTTGAGGATTTGAGCGTAGATCAGACTGAAGAAAATCCAGCTATGTTAAGTATCTGATGCACATTAATAAATTTGAAAGCTTCAGAGTAGACAGGGAAAGCGTGGGTTTAGTGTATGAGATGATGCAATTTACCAGGCTGAGGAAAAAGCTTCTCTACGTACAGCAGCTGAGGGACTGAAGTCCTCTTTGTAGGGAGCAGTCCTTTCGAAGGCAGCTGCTGCTGGAGGTTTCTTTTCCTTGGCTCAGTCAAAAACTTCATGGCAGTGCAGTGCTGTGACTGCCTCTGGCCCACTTGGGAATGCTGAGGGATGTGTTCTGTCACATAGAAGGGGTTGTTTTCCTCGCTATCCGGGAGCTAGGGGAGGAGGTAGTTTTCCTAACCTCAAGAGGCACCATAGGACCAGCAAGGATGTAGTCAGGAGAGGACTGACCCAAACCAGCCCCACTGGGACAGGAATGAAGGGTACAACATCCTACTGGGGCAGAAACGGGACTGGGGCATGGAGAGCGTGGGGCTGAACTGTGGGGAGGGTGAGGAGTAAGATTTGGGAGCAGAATTTATTGCTTCCCCAAGCCTTGCCTCTCTCCCTAAACCCACCAATGAACAGGGCACTGGGAAGTGAGAAATCTGCCTTCTCCTTGGACCTTGGCAGGTCAAAACCAAGTCCCAGTTTATTACATTTATCGGATGAAGAGGGGATAACAGCCCTGCAAGGTAGGCTGGGACACCTGCGGCAGCGGCGGCGCGGCCCTGTGAGTTATTTTCCTGTCTGAGGTCTTTGACTGGAGAGCAGATTTTGGGCAAGGCTGTTCAAACACAGGCCTGCCTTTGAAGAGCTTTATGAGTAGAGCATTACAGGAGATATTCCAAGGGGAAAAACAATGAAAGGTGTGAGAAAAGGGAGCTGAATAAAAATACTCCGCATACCAACTTCTTCCAGCACAATTTGCCACCTACTTAAGCAGGCACAGTTTTAAAATACACATTGGGTGTAAAAGCCAAAAACCTGGAGGAGACACAGGGAGGGGTGAGTCCAGCTCTGCTAATTCCAATACCAGATGAGGATGTATTTTCATACAGTTGTAGAAAGAGCGAGACACATGCAAGTGCCTGCTTTGCTCCTTTTCTTTCAGGGTTACAGACTATGTGGCAGATGTGTCAGTCTTTCAAAGCCCCTGCTAGTTTACCCATAAATGTCTAACATTTATGCAACACCTGTTTTTCTCCCAAAATGTCATAGGACATTTTACAAGCTTTAGATTTATCATCTTTTTGCCGTCGCAGCCATTGCTGAGGTGACACATGGTTCACATTTAACAGAACATAGCAACTCCGCACGTTATTTTAGGAAAGGGCTGAAGATTAGCATTGCATCATGTGAAGATTCAGGAGCTAACAGGCAAGTAAGAGCTGACTTCAGATCTTTAATGTCCGCAAACTGTCAAGACTTAAGTTTCACTGCATTCCCACTCCCCTCCCAAAAACACTTTCAGCTGCACACAGTGCTGTGAACTGGGTTGCCTGAAAAACAAAACAAAGATTCAACCCACATTCACTTTGATCCACAGTCCTCTTACTTAATGTCTGATTCTGCACACTCCTGTTTTATTAGCCTGAAAAAACGCAGGAGGCTTCCATGTGCCATTCCATTGGGGCACGTTTTTGCTTTGCATTTGAGCATTAGCAGCAAATGACCTTGTGCATTTCTGCAGAGAGAGGGGAGCAGGGTGGTGTGGCTTATCTAGCCAACCACCGACTAATCAGTGCTGCTGCTTAGATAGGAAATAATGAGTATTTGCCCTGTGCTACTCACAATCAGTCCAGGGAGCTTAAAAGAAATCATTAAAGGCTTCTTTTGAATGCTGCAAATGGCAACAAATAAATTCAGTCATATTCTGGGCATGAATTTGAGGCAACGGCCATCAGCAAGCAGGAAAAAGAGACACTCATCAGCTTAATTATTTGTTCTGTGCTAATTGATCAGCATGCCCTGCAGAGGAAGGGAAGCTGAGGCTGTGCAGTGGCACCCAGGGCAGCAGGGACAGCCAGCCGTCTGCAGGGCACAGGGAGCAGCAGGGAGGCACTGGCAGTGGATGTGGCTGCACAGCTTGCCCTGTGCATGACCCAGGAGCAGCTTGGGGAGACAGGAAGGCCATTGCCAGCCAACTTCCAAGAGAGAGGAGGCTTCTGTTGTGTATCTGGAGGGGATAAAGTCTTCTGTGAAGGACAAAACAAAAGCCCGTCTCCTTTTCATCTTCCTCTCCTCCTGACCCAGCACAGGTTGCCAGCTCCCTTCCGCCTGGCTGCTCCAGGAAGCTGCTTCTTGCTTTGTGTCCTGCCGCAGATAAAAGAAGATATTATTTTTTAAAGCATTAAATATTTGACAGCGCTTAAAGTGGGGAAAATAAATAACCTGGGCATAGCTGGCTGCCCTGGGCTGGCAGCAGCTGCATGGAGCTCCTGGGGCGTGAGACGTGCCAGGGAGAGCTGATGGCTCTTTCTTTCCGATTAGTTTCAGGAAATCTTCTCTCCAGTCACTGCTCCCCTTCACTTCTCTTTCCCTTCTCTTCTACAAATTTTCCCAGTGCAGGGCTGTCTAGAAAGGCCTCACAGAAATCAGAAACGTTTTTCTCCAGGCTGCTTGCGTACTTTGTTCCAGTCTCAAATAGCAGATTTTTGCATTGAAGTCCCTGCAGTCTGATCTCTGCAAATTTAAGCGTGGGGAATTTTGCTGCTCTAAATTTACCCCAACCTAAGCCATTTGAAAGGGCAAACTCATCTGTCTTTCCTCTGTGCCTTTCCTTTTCATCACATAAGGGGTAGAACTACAGCCCCCGTGAGAAAAACCCATGTCATTCAGTTATCTCTCAGATTTTCCCTCAACCCCTTTGCCCCAGAGCCCTGAGAAAAGAAAAAGGAGAATCAACCTGGCAAAAACTCCCATCTCAAATGCTGCCCCTTCAGCCTCTTGACATTGCTGTCCAACACCTTGGAGAGGAAAACCAGCAAGTGCCTTGGCGGAAAACAAATGAGGACTTGCGGTAGATAGAGAACCGCGTGGGATTCGTCCAAAGCTTTGCTTATCTACGAGATATGCAACTTATCAAAACCTCTTCAGAGACTTTATGGCCAAGAATTCAAGGCCTAAAGAAAGGAGCTTTGAACTGAAGGGCTGCTGCTGGCTCCAGGAGGGATTTCCCAAGACTGTCCCTGTCTCCCTAGGAAGGGGGGTCTGCCCCCTCCCACCCCTGAGAAAACAGAAATAGTCATTTCTTGGGATTTTGGAAAAATAAGAGCCATCTCTCTGCTCTCTCCACTGCACAGACCTGTCCTGGGGAATCACAGGTCTTGTTCCTTTTGCAGAACATGATTTTGAGGCAGCGTGCACAATTAGCAGCCTAAGTGACCACCCCAGCCGAGGAAATTTTGCTTATACAGAAGAATCGATGGCTGTGACACGGTGCTGCTCCCAACAGCTTAGAACTCCCCAGCCGGGTGTGTTTGTCAGCTCTGTAATTAGCTGGCGAGATACAATGAATGGCGGGTGAGCACGGAGGAAGGCCAGACACAATGAGGAGCGTTGCTTCATGCCCCTGGAAGCGGCTCGGCGCTGCTGCATGCTTTGAGCACGCTGCTTCACCCAGGCCTTTGGGTGAACTCACTTCCCCAGGAGCTTTTGATCGCAGTGTGAGTGGCTCACTGCTTGCCATGAGAGGAGCGCTTCCAGTCATGGTTGGTTGGGATGGGAGCTTATTTTGGGGCTCAGAGCCGGTTTCATAATCATTCGGGGAGGCTTTCCAGGCGGCGATAAATTAAAAGCAGCGATGGTAGTAGCACATGTTGCCTATCCTGAGAGAACATTCTTGGCTTCAAGGGACGTGGGGCTTCCCACAACATACAGCATTCCCAGGGGAAGTGCTCGTGGAGGGTGTTTGCTTTGCTATCCGACCTCACTTCATTAGCAAGTGTTACAAAAACCAGCGAACAAACCTTCTCTGCTCCACCGCCAGCTATTTGGCCTCTGGGTGGTCTGGCTGCTATTAAATCTTCGGTGATTATTTAGACTAATTACATTCATGTTTGCACAATCAGTAGCACAAGGGTAGGAAGCGCAGCTGATGGCTGAGCAGCTGAGCTCCGTGTGGTTTGGCACGAGGGCTCCTTTGCTTAACTCAGCCCCGTGAGTGCAGGAGCTTGGTGAGGATGTGGGCGTTCGGCACCCAGCACCCTGTGCCACCAGAGCTTTTGCAAGCATCTCAGCTGGCTTTGGGCCATTCTGGGTCCATCGATGGGGCTGCGTCTGGTTGGGACCCAGTGGACATTGATGAGGGTCGTTTCGGCTTAGGTGAGCTGTGTCTTATTACATAGGGCTTGCTGGCTTTGATGAGGAAAAGCCCAGTTTAAAGAGGTGCAAATGAGAGAAATTCAGTATGTTCCCTACAAGCTTCATCTTCACCCTTCCCAGACCCCCTCGAGAGGTGCCCTAGGTGTGAACCTGCATACCAGCCCCCAGAGCTAGAAGGGAGCTCTTTTTTTTTTTTTTTTTTTTTTGCTCCATAATCTCCAAACAGCCCTTGTGACCTAAATGACAAAAAACACTGGGAAGAACGTTACAAGATGCATTTTTGTCCTGCAAGGGCTTTCACAGGGAGCATTCTCCCCCGCATTCAAGCTGTGAGGGTCTCAGGGCACTCAGCACCACCTGCCACGCTTATCTCAGTGCCGCGTTCACTGCAGAGGCTCCGTGTGCAGCGAGGCCTTCATAGCTCCCATTCATCTCGCCTGGGAAATTTTGCAAACACTTCAGAGCTGAAGTCTAACAACAAGTTATTTCCCAACACTTTCCATGCCTCCTCCCCTGTTTCCCCCTGCCTCCAGCCCAGAGCCAATGCTGCCCACCCTGAATGGGAGGTGGAGCTGGGTCAGTATGATATGAATGTGTGCTAGGGCTAAGCTGTGCCCCTCTGCAGAAGTGTTTCCCACCCCTCCTTGTACCTGTTGGCTGTTTCTTCTGTCAGTGTTCCCACACTGGACTTTCTCAGCAGGAATCTATCTTGGGATATTACCAGCCTCTTTAGATAGGATTTATGGCTCTTGACTCATTTCATGACCTGGGTCCCATTTCTGCACCGCCATATTTCATGGTTGTCTTTGCACCCAAAGTCTGGAATGTGGCATCAAGGGCAAATGCAGCCCTGCTTCCAAAGGCTTTGCAAATTTTGGCTGTGGTTTCACCACCTTGCCTGGGAGAGGATACTTAGGGCTCCTGTGCCTTCATAGAGGACACAAGTATCACCTCCAGGAGACGTGTGCATGTGTAGGGGGAGCGTGTAGGTGTGCAGAGCTGCGTTCTTCACTTCTGTCTTTCTCAGATTATTTTAGGTAGCCTGTGGAGACAGCATCCTGCAGTACTTCATCCAGTAATAAGCCAGGCCCTAAGTTTGAATTTCAGCTTTTCTTCCACACTCTCATAGGTATTAGCCAGGTTTCCTATGTGGGAAGAGATAGGGGAAGGCAGGACTTGGCAGGTGGAAGGAAGAGGAGACAGTTCTGTAATACTGCTTTGCAACGGATATATCTCAGAATTTCTGTGCAAATCGTACATGTTGTTAATGAGTTGGGCTTTCCCCAGTCTATTAAAAAAGAAAGGCAGCAATTCATCTTGGAGTCAGTGTATCTGGGCTCCACACCTAAACAGGCCATCATTCAGAAAAATGCTCAGTGCTTATTATTGGTAGCACATCCAGCAGTTTTGTTCATGGATCTGTGCTCCACAGGGCTGTCACAGAACAAGCCCAAGACAAAAGACAGTTCTTGTTCTAAGGCGTTTTAGGGTTTCTCTGTGCTGGGCACTTCTGACAGTCCCAGTAGATGCTGTGTGTGGGTTTGATTCCCTAAATACCTCTGGAAATCAGGTCCTTGAGGAAATCAAATGTTTAATTGTTGTAGATGATATTTAAAGTGGAAATCCCACATCACTGTTTAATGTTTGGCAAATTTTATCCTGTCTAATTTGACTGTGGATGTGCTCACTACCCATAAAAATCTTTGCCTTTTCACATAATAGAAAACTGATCTGTGGAGCTCATTGCCATAGACAAAACTATTCATCTCTCTGGACAATAGCACTGTAAAAATTAAACTGCATACAAAATCTGTAAAGGTCATAAAGTGAATGAGGCTAATCTGATCAGTAAGAAACCTCTTCCAGTCAGGCTCCCCACTGCTTTGACTGCTGCTGGGCTGTGCAGCTCTGCTTTTGGGCCCTTGGCAGTGCCCCAGAGGGATGGCTTCTGTTTCTTCTGTCTGTGACTGCTGAGGGGAGACCAGAGGGTTTTCAGAGGACAGCACATGGGAAGGCACTTCCTTAGTGACTCCTTCCCAGATATTTGCTGCAGTGGAGTAACAGTCTGTTCTCTTACATGGAGCTTTTGTTCAGGTAGGGAGGAGAGGGGATGCAGGAGGTAGAGAACTCCAACGCAATACCAAATTCATGGCGATTTGGGTTCCTCAGGTCACAGTTTCAGCACAGCCCACAAAGTTAGGGGAGTGAGAGCCAGCAGTTTGGAGATACAGTCATGCAGGGCTTTCACTCTTGGCTCTTGTTCCTCCAAGTGAAATGTTGGCATTTATGGGATGTCTGTGCCAGTGAGAGATGCTGCAGTCCTGCTTATGCGTGGAGAGAAGCAGAGACAAAGAGCAATTAGATGATCATGGCTAATTTCAGCCACTTCACTGAAATGCCTTGTTTGGTGTTCCTGTGTTCAGTGCAAAATGTGTATCCATCTTCTCTATGAGCCTCTTTCTCCACTGAATGCAGGGACACTGAATTGCCTTTGTTAGGCTGTTAGAGACAAACGTGAATCTAGGCCAGGGAGAGGAAGAAGTTTGATCAAGACAAATGAAAGAACCAGGAGCCCAGATCTCGCCTCCAACCAGTAGCTCTGTTGTACAACAGGAAGGATTTTTTAAGTCAAAATCATTGCCAAATCCAGGCTGAACTGAATGATTCAGGATAAAAAATAAAAGTAAGGGAAAACTCCAGACATATCTACATGTTTTGTTTGAGCATTTTCTAAGTGAACTAAGCTTTCATTCCAAGACATAAATTTTGCTCTGAATAGCCTTTTTTATTTTCGTGTCTTGTAAGGAAAGGTCGAACCTGAACTGCAGCAGATAATCTAAACCAAAATGTTTCCCTCTCTGCTGAACAAAATAAGTCAATTCCTTTCATGTGTCATTTTATTCTCTGCAGTATTTTAATTCAGTCGTTAAACAGTCCCTCCCGAACCCCACTGTTTACAGACTTCTCCATTTTCCTATCGAAGAATATTCATAACACTGTGATATGGAACAGTCCTACTGTGGCTGGCTTCTGTTGGATCAAGTGACCCGTAAGCTCCCATTGTTTTCTGCAGTTTCTAAAGCTTCTTTGGTATCCGGTTACTTGAATCCATTTGTTTTTAAGCTTTTGGACTCTCTCTGCTTTGCACCCTCCACACTGGCACATCGGTAGATTCAGGTTATTCACTGCTTGGTTCTTCAGCTCATGAGTCACTGAGGCCATAGGTTGGTGAGGAAGGTCACGTCTTCTGGGAACAGAAGTCAAAAGAAACAGGAGAAGGCTCTCTGAAGCCTGATGTGGCGGTGAGTGTTGGCTGTTTAACGTCTGTGTCAGCACGTCCCTGCTGTAGGCTCCCCAGTTGTGAAATAAAGACCCACACCCCTCTATCCTGTTCTCATATGTCAGGAGAAAAGCACGCTGTGATGGACGTGCAGGGACACGTATGGAAGGTCTTTGGGAAATGACAGCTGTGTGCTCATGAGCTTGGTCTCACGCATTCCTAGGTGTGCTGTTGATGCACAGGGAACAAAGGTACCTTCATGGCCTGGAGAGATGCGTTTGTGAAAGAGAGAGCAAACGTGTGGCAGCAAAGCCACGGACAGCAGACGTCGGGAGCACTGAACAGGTTATGGCACTGTCTGGGAAGGAGTGTTAAGGAGGGGAATGAGGTCATTCTCTCAGTCTGTGCAGATGGGAGAAATTCTTGGGAATGCACTTCAGGACAAGCAAGACACTGTTCCTTTGGCACCCCCTTTTCTTTATGTAAATGTGATGATGCAGTATGCCAAAATCAAAATCTGCTAGCCAGGCACTGCAGTCTTCTTTCAGCTCCTTCCCACGCTTCTGCAGAGATCATGGTCAGATTTTGTCTGCATGTAGCAGCGACTCACTTGTGTTCCTTTGCTGTTTCTCGGTGGCTGTTAGCTGTATCTTTTCCCCTTAAACTCAGCAGGTATTTAGAGAAGTCTGTTTGTCCAGTTCTGTTTTCACTGTTCTGCTAGGTAGTGGTTGGTTCAGTTCCTGCCTGGAGAAACTGAAACCAAAAGCACTCGTAATTGAACACACAAATACACTTAGACATGGAAACAGGACCCAAGCCATAGGGCCCTACTGCAGTGTGGTGCCTTACAGAGGGGAGGTTATGGCCCAGAAGCAGGGTTCACCAAATCCTCAGGCGGGAGGTGGATGGAAATGCTGAGCTGGGAACTGTTGGGCATAACATTCAGTGAGACTTTAAGCTGGTCACGTGCAATGGGAGTTTGGTAGCTTTGCCATCACTTCATGTCTGCAGGCTTTGGAGGAAGGATAGCCCTTCAGAAGAAGCTGGCAGCGTAATGCATTCCAGTATTTTGGTGACTAAAAGCCCCAGGGTTGCTTAAGCAGTACATTTCTCCTTGGACAGCTGTGTCCACATGCCTGACCGAGCAGTTAAAGGAGGATCTGCTGACCAGCAACTGCATGAGCTGAGCAGGCTCTTCTTTATCCATTTCACAGCCTCGCATAGGGACAAGTGGCTCATCTGAGGCCTCAGTGTGCCACTGAAATAAATCACTATAGAAAATAATGCAGTTGCAGACTCCAGCTGATCTCTGAAGATATCACTCCAGAGGTCTCGTTTGTTCTCCACAGTGCTGCACTAGGTCATCATTACGGTCCTTTTCAGCCCAGGCCGTTCTGTGATTCTACGATTCCTTCACATGCCTGTGTTTCCTTCCCCAGGTTACTCCCTTCCCGATGTCCTGTGACCTACAAGGAGAGTGTGCTTGCCGGGACCCCAACGCCCAAGAGCACAATCAGAAAGATCTCCGTGGCTTCAGTCTTGGGTAACGCCGAGCGACGTGGAATGGAGGACCACACTGCTCAAGGCAGGCTAGGAGAGACACCACATCCCTTTTGGTATCATTTTTAACATTTAGCTGCTCAACTGGATGGCATTTCTGCACCAGAGACCCTTAGAATTCAACCAGTCTGCCTTTAATTTTTGTCCAAGGAGAACTCAAAGTAGGGGTTTATGTATTAACTATATCTTAAATAGCGATGACAAGAAACAACCAAGAGTCAAGTTGAGAAGACATTCATGTATCAAAACAGCATGTTATGCCCACCTAATTTGAACAGTTCATATCTAGATTTAAGGCGAGAAACAAGCTATTTATGTACACGTATTTATAGAAATAAGTAGAGAAAGAGAGAAAGAGTGAGAGATTATGATCAACGCAGAAACACTTTCCCCTCTCTAGCACTCACAACTCAGACCATTCATGGAAGAGGCTGTGCTCTTGGAGGACTCCGGGCTGAGCCTTTTCTGATGCTGAATGCCAAGGTATCTCATGCTCGGGGCACTGATGCTGGGGTGGGGTCTCTGCAGGGCTGTGCCTCTTGGCAAGTGACTTGCCAGGTGCCCAGTCGGCTCGAGACGTGGGACTCATCTGCTCCTCACAAGAATGCTACTTCCAGCCAGAGAGCTCAGCAGGCTGCAGTGACCTTTCTGTACAGCTCCTCCTTCTCCCCCCAACACTCAAAAAGCAAACAAAAAGCCCCCTTGTCGCCCGGCCAGAAGCCAGAGGGCTGCTGGGATGTTTCTCTGCAGAGGTGGGCAAGTGGTCCCACTGTGGAGCCAGGGAGAGGGGAGTCAGGACTGGCATTGAGGAATGTGGATGATTGCTTCTGAGGAGCAGAGAGGGTAACTCGCCCCCGCACTTGTCATTTGAGCATGTCTGCTGCTGCTACTGCTGCTGCTATGTCCCATACAACTAGTTTCCTTACTGTGTCAGGACAGGGTGAAAACAACCCCATGCAACCAAACAGTCTGCCTTAAAGCTTACCTATAACCTGCCTTTCAAACCCTCTGGTATCTTCCTCAGCATTGGGGCAAGAAAACAGGACACCAGCCAGCCAAAGGAATCTGCTTTTTGGTCCCTGCCCACCCAAGGGGTTCTCTAAACCTCCTCCATCCCACTCTTATGGCTGTGTATATTTAACAACTGCTTCACGCTCTTGTTTTCCTAGGAGAGGGGAAGAGGAGGAAGTATGTACTATGGGGAGACAGTATTAAAATTTTGGTCATATTTGTCAGTATTAAGCATCCAGGCTTGTAGGTCAGATATCTTTGAAAGACCGGGAGCGTAGCTGCTTGTAATCTTCCAGCAGGAAGGGCATTAGCTGCAGCAGCTCTCATAATTCCCTTTCATATAGCTCCATCCTCTTGTTTCAGCCCAGAGGAGCTCACGTTGTGCCAGACTCTTGTGGGGCTCATTTTATCGTAGGGTTCATCATCACATTGAGTCACTGAGATGCCCAGAGTATCTCAGTGCTATTGCTGCTGTTAAAACCATCCCACATAAAGCCTAGAGATGTCTTCAGCGTGGCCTGGACTTGTCTCCTGCTGCTTTGGGTTCCTGCTGCAAGGAGCACACATCTGAAAGAGCATCTTCCCAAATGTTAATTCTTCCTGTTCCTTGGGACTCTCCTGCTTTGTACAATCTACTGGGAAAAGACAAGTTGGAAAGATATTTTCCTTCTCCTGCCTTTTTGAATATTCAGGCACTACAGCAAGGCAGAAATGTTAAGAGGAATCATTTAGCTCGTGGAGATGGATGTAAAGATAGATAGGAAAACTAGAAATGGAAAATTGACAGTTGTAGGTGCAAAGAGCCAGGCACCCACCATTGGGGTCATCTCTATGGGAATAACCCAGAGAATAATCTCACAACCTAAAATCTGGAGGCCTGGAGAGCAGATGAGCATAAGAAGGTGAGGAGTTGTCTGTTGGGAAGCTCTTGGAGAGGGCCTGGCCGTGGGAGCCGTGCGGATGGCTCTGTACCCACCGTGCAGGGCTATGGGGGAAGGGTGATGCAGTGGGATCAGGGCTTCTTCTATGGAGCAAAGCTGAATGGCTGCCAGTGTAGAGAGCATTAGCAGAAACTGGCCCCTGGGCAAACTTCCACTTGCTCTTCTTGCCACCTAATTAACAATGGAAATAAGTAATAGGGAGAAGGTTGCTTCCTTCTCAGTCGTTCATCCTCCTTTCTGCTGGTAATTGGTTCACGTGCCATCCAGCCTATTGGAGGAGCACAGCACCTCCAAACCCTTTCAGGCTGCCAGCACATCAGCACCTGAGGCATCTTGGCAGAAACTCTTCCATCCACACCACCCCGATTTCACCCATGTAGGAATCCCCACTTCAGGCCCTGCATGCATCCTGATGGCAGACCAGTTTACAAAACTCCTGTATCAGTTCTGCAGCTCAGCATGGAGGAGATTTTCCATCTGCTTTTCCCACCTAGGAATTGCCCAAGAGAGACAGGTCTGTGTTAGCGTTATTGCCACTTGCTGCTGTGGCTCAGGGCCTTCTGAGTGACTGTCCTGCCAGGGCCAGCCTCTGCTCTCGGCAGTCTGGGGACGACCAGGTCCCTTCCCCGCACGGAGGCTTTCCATGCTGCTATTTGATATATATTTTTTTTTCCATTTTTGGCACTGTCCATCTCCTCCAGAGGGGCTGAGAGCACTGCGAGCAGAGATGCTGCTCTGAGTCACATTAACTCACGTTATGAATGCACCGTTTTGATTTTTCAAGGAGATCAGATTGCTTTAAGGGGAACAAGGAGAGGGGACTCATGGGATCTGAATACCTGACCAACTGGATAGCCTTGCAGCATCTACTGCTGTAAGGACCTTGACTGCCTGGTAGAGTCCTGGGGAATGCGCCGTCATGATGGTGATGGACATCCAGTGCAAGATGAGAGGGATGCGGGGTGAAACTGAACAAGAAAATTGGGGGAATAGAAGAAGGTGCTCATGCTGATGAAATTTAGCTGCTTATGAAGTCCAGGTCACATCGGTGCCAAGAGCATCTCTGTCACAGACTGTGAGCCAAGGCTGCACTCAAAGGGCCACCAGTGGTCTCCAAGGCCAGAGGGAGGGCAAGCTGGAGCAGAAAGCAGTGAATGGTGCGGGATGGGGTGGGAAACTCCTATCAGCTGCTACCCCACTCCCTCCCCACCCTCTCGCAGATGGGCTGAGCTGGTGTCATCCCGCTTTTCTTGCATCTCCTGCTGTCCCCTCCCAGGCTGAGAAAGGAGGATGGCACCAGAGGACTCTTGGAGTCGGGTTCCAGCTACCTCCCTTCCGGTTTCGGTTTCACTTGGTTGTAACTGTCGGTTTGTTCTAGGTTTCACCTGTGTTTAAGAAAAACAAAAAAGAAAAAAAAGAAAAAAAGAAAAAAAAAAAAAAAGAAAAAAAGAAAAAAAGAAAGCCAATAGCCAACAAAAGTTTCTTGCTACAAAGGATTCAAGTGGGAAAAAAAAAATAGGAGAAAAGAAAACCCACATAATCCAAATCCAAGAAGAGAGAAGAGCAGAGCCTATTTTTGTGAGTTTGAAAGGAAAACACTGATTCTGCCAGCTGAGTAGAGGTAGATACTTAAGTGTAGATTTCCCTAGAAGTACTGTGAGGTTTTATAACATTGTCTGGTTTTGTTTTCCTTGTGCTTTGTGATAAGTCCAGGAACTAAGACTAAGGTATTTTTTTCCCCTGGTATATTGTTGTCTGGGGGGAGGGGGGAGTTTTGTTTTGTTTTTTTTTTCCAGATTATTTTTGTTTCGTTTTGTTTTGAAGTGAGTATTTGTGCTCATTTTTACATTAACCAACTGTACACAGACATGTAACCAGTATTTCAGTGTGCTCTAATTACTGCACTCAGAAGCACTGCTCAGTCTGAATCCCGAGGAGTCGCAAGAGGTTGGGAATGAGTGGGAGGAGATAGGTGATCCCATTAGCGGCGCGCTGATGTCCCCTTTCTGCACCTCTGCCCCGTCAATCCCAATTGAGGCCAAGCTAGAAAACAGGAGGTGTTACGGTGAGGTCAGGTGAGGCTGGGATGCCCAAGGGTATTTAGAGCTGGAGATTTGTCCTTTTAATTTTTTTGGATGCCATGGAAATCGCCACCTCTTTGGCCTCATCTTGACCTCCCCTGCTCAATCCATGATGCCTCAGTGACACTCGGTGGGTGTGTTGGTGTCCCTGGGAGGAGACCTTCTGCCCAGCCTAGACACCGTTCTCCATACCGTCACGGTTGTGATCTCAGTGGTCCCATGTAAGTCTCAGTGGTGCAGTGAAGGTGATATCCTCCACGTTTGTTCCGTGCCATCCCATCCTCCAGCTGCGGCCATCTCCCTTGAGCGGGCAGCTGGCCTTGTGTGTTGTGCACCTTGAAGGCCAGGGACCAGTCCTCTTGCCTCTGGAAGTTGCTGACCACTGAGGTCAATGGGAACATGACTGAAGCTCTGGTAACGAAGGCTCCAGCAGGCCCAGGTGGCCCAAATGTTTTTTCTTGGAGCTATGGCTCATTTGGGAGATCGGAGTTTGTATTGGGCTGTTCTTGCCAGCTGGGGAACCAGTGTCGGAAGGTCGTGTCAGCAGGAGCAGAGCAGGGCCTGAGGTTTTGTTTCACTTTTAGTTTTGCAAGCGGATTTTTTGCCCTTTTCACCTGATCTACACATCCAAGATTCACTAAGAATAATAATCGCTTCCTCTGAGGCCAGAACCAAGACTTGTGTTGGCTTCACGTGACAGACGAGGATCTTGGTGCTACTCGGTGTTGTTAGTCCTGTGAGGTCGAGATGCAGAGCTATGAGTCCAATTTGTCTTTGGTTCCCATTCTGGCTTGGGTTGGTCTTTTGTTTTTTTCATTCGTTTGGTGAGGCCACAATTCAGCCACCAGTTTCCATCTTCTGAGTGTGAAGAACGAGGGCTTTAATGAAACATTTCACCAGCAATTAAAGAGGGAATTGGAACCATTGTGGAACTTGCATTGTACGGCCTCTGTAATTACGTACCTGTCTGCAGATGATAGGCTGAATTTTGCTTCCACCAAGTCAACAGGGGTTTTTGTTGTCGTTGTTGTTGTTGTTGTTGACTTCACTGGGAGCAGGATTGAGCCGTACTATATATATAAATATATATATATAAATATATATGATATATATATAATATTATATGTGTAATATTATATATATATATCAGTGTAATATTTACAAATAAAACTGTGATCTCGTCTAGAGAAAAATGTATTCATATTACCAACTGCTCTTCCATATTTATGTATCATATTGTATCTTTTTATTATTGTTATAATTATTATGATTATTATGGTTATTATTATTATTATGGAATCTTTCTTGGCACCTTTTGGAAGCGACGTCAACCAATACTCCAATGAAGTGCTGAGGATCTATTTTCACAAGAATTCTACTGGTCTACTGTATAAAAGAGAAAAGAAAAAAAAAAAAAAAAGAAAAAAAAAGAACCAAGCAAAATACAGTTCAACCCTTAATTCTGTACCTCACGCCTGTACGTTTGCTGCTCCGATTTTGGGTTTTATTTTGCGTTCGTTTGTTTTTAACGGATCTAATTTAAGTCTCCAAGCAATATATAAAGATGTAAATAGTAAAGCTTATTTATTAAGATTGTCATCTTTTTTAATTTATATTTACACAGTTGTTCATCTAATTTATTTTTTTTTTTTTCAATACAGTTTTTAACAGTTGTCCTTTTTTGGTTCATGAGGTTTTTTTTGAAGTCATTTTCACAGAATTTCTTTATACAGGTTTTTCTCTTTCTTTTAATAAACAACAACTTCCTCTGGTCTTTCAAGAACAGGTCATGTTTCACTCAAAAAAAAAAAGTTTTGTCAGACTCATCAGAAATATTTTGCCATTGTTGATTCCTATACCCTAAAGTTCTATATTATATAAATATATAATACCTTGTATGCTTAAATATTTAACTGTGTGATTTTGTATATATCTTCATACACATGCTCACACACATATGAGGGTTAATGTCCCCAGATGCTGGGAGAACAGAGAATCAGAAACACAAACAATATAAGCTTGTATTAAAGAGTTCTGAACTGGACTGCTTGCTTTTGCCACGTCTTTGCTTTCGGTCGAGCTGGCCCCGAGCATCGCTGGGTGTGGGAGGGTGAGCGTGGTGCCACATCTGGATGCACAGCTGTACGGGCTGCCCTGCCACGTGTTCCCCTGCCTCAGTTTCAGGCAGGGTCTGCAGCACTCACAGTGCTCTGGCAGGGCTGGTGGAGGGAGGCAGCCCCCCCGGGGTGTGGTGTGGTTCCCTGCCACCCAATGGGTCTGCTTCCGCCATCAGACCCTGAGGCAATGGGGTCTGCCCTGAAGAATTCCACTTTGTCTCAATTGGGAAACCTTTAGAGAAACATTCAAGCCCGTAAGTGTGCCTAAATAGTGCCCTCATCACTTGGAAAAGAGCGCTCACATGTAAAGGCTTGCTGACTGCGCTCCGTGTGAGGGGCTTTGGCCTCAGTGACAACCTGGGGCTGTGCCAGGCTGCAGCTCCGCGCTGCCGTGACCTGTCTGCCACCCAGCACACCTCAGGACGCCGTGCTCTGCCCCTGCCCTCTGCTGCTTACCTTCTCCATCAGCTGCACAGCACTGTCATCCAGCAGATGAGTCCCAACAGGAACTCGCCGTGACTCAGGAGTATGACCTAAGCGGGGAGGAAGGCTGGAAGCCATCTGCATGCACCCCGGGGCTGAGTGTGCCAGATGCAGAACCCTGCGGGCACTGTGGAATGAGGCTCTGTATCCCATTTAACATCATTTTGCTCAGCAGAGTGATGGATGAGGCTCAGATCCATGCCCACCCCGCAGCAGGACCCCGTGGTGCAGACCCCAGCCCACCTCCCAGCTTGGAGCTGCTGCAGCAGGCAGGGGAGGGATGTCTGTGCTGCTGTAGCTGGGAAATGTGTATCGACTCAGCATTTACAATGTGAATTGATTCAGCATCGACGCCTCCAATCTGGGCCTGTGCACGCTGTCAGGATAGGTGCCATTCAGCCCTGACAGTTATTGACTCCCTATTGATCCTGAAGAGGGTCACTGTTAACCCAGTTAACTCTCGCCCTCATCAATGATTTAACTCCCCAGGGAAGCCCAGACAGGACAGGGAGGCTGGAGAGAACCTGGAGCACGTGGGTAAGAGCCTTGATGATGGCTGTGCTGCACCACTTGCAGGTCCTTTTTCTTTTGTTGCTGTTGGACTGTAATGGCAGACAGCTCTGTCTGCCATCCTGATGTATGTGCACTACTGAAAAGCAACACTTTGCCCGCTTTTAGAAATGTGGCATTAATACTGACTGTCGTGTGTAAAGAGGCTGTGGACTGAACAACAAATGAATTCCACACCGCAGTCTATGGGGCGCTTGGGGGCAATAAACTGAAGGGCAGCAATAAATTAATTTTTTTTTTTTACACTGACATAAGTGAGTCACTAAAAAAGATGTTTTGCATTTCAGCTGTCAAAATCTACTGCAATATATCGAGTGGGGAGAGAGAGTGACAGCGCATGGTGCCTCTATAGCATCCCTGTCAGTGGCCAATGCATTATTAATGGAGTATAAGCACGTTGAACGGCCCTGTCAATAGAACACACCGTAGCTAAAAAGGCCTGTAAACGGTGTATTAAACGGTTTGTGTCTATAGCAATACATAAATCAATTAACTGTGCATTGAAGGATCTATTAAGCATTAATACAGGCTTTAAGACAGGAGCAACCTACAGAGGCAGCTCCTGCTGGGCTGTGCTGCAGCCGCTGAGCGATGCTCATCTCCATTCCTCGCATGTGCACAACCACACGAGCACAATCAATTGCAGTGTGCGGCCAAAACAACCATTCCTATGGCCAGTTCATGTGTCTGTCTGGAAATCAATCGCTAAAGAGTGGGGGAAGGGAAAACATACATCAATACCTGCATTGAGAGAGGGCTGAAGGTACTGCTCAAAGAGTGGGCCACCAGCTGATGTTAAAAGTGGCGGAGGGAAAGCAAGGGATGTCACTTTCTGATCAGCCCCAAGCTGCAATGCCAGCCAGCCTGTGCCACCAAGCACTGTGTGGCTGCAGACACTCGTGTCACCCGCCGTGGGTCCTGTAGGCTGCCATAAACTAAGGGAGCTGACTGCGTTCGCTGCATGCGACAGCAGGGAAGCTGCTCCTGGTTCATACATCCGAGTCGTCACCTGGCTGAAAGCCACAGCTCCTCCACCAAGTGTGGCACTGGGAACTGTAGGAATGGGAAAATGCAGCTGTTGGCAACATGAAG